TCAAAGGGGCGGTGATCACCAGTGGCTGCAGCAGCTGCGGGATGATGGCGAGCACACAAGGAGTTGTGAGTCCATCAGATCAACCAGTACACTGCTTCTCCATTCGCCGTTTTCTTGCGTTCGTCGTTCGGTCATGTCTACCGTCTCCTCACGGTGGTGCCCACATGTCTTGCCAGATATCCACTCAGCTCCCAAACCTCTCCACTCCTGCCGTCTGCTTTCCTCAATCTCCGCCCGTTCATCACCAGACGAGCATCAGCTTTTATCCAGAGCGAGCGCTGCGGGCAGCCGCATTGGCAGCAGCAGCACTGGTGGCAGCAGCAGCACTGGTGGCAGCAGCAGCGCTGGTGGCAGCAGCAGCGCTGGTGGCAGCAGCAGCGCTGGTGGCAGCAGCAGCAGTGGAGGAGTGAGACACCTTCTGTCCAGAACCAGCCACATGGGCAGCAGCGGTGCCAGTGGTGGCAGCGTCAGTTGCGACATCAATGGCAGCTGCAGTGGTGGCTGCAGCAGAAAAAGGAGGGGTGAGTGCAGCTTATCCTATCGCAACCAGGTTCCCTATATTTGTTGGTTATCCAAGTCTATGTGGCTCGTTCTCTTGTCTTGCTGTATGCAGTTAACATGATCCCCTCGCCTCGCTCCCCCTTCCCTGGCCAGGATGATGGCGAGGCGAGCACACATGGAGTTGTGAGTCCACCACCCCTGGAGCAGCACGCCTGAAGAGAAGGCGTGGCGCGGGAGTGGGAGAGCAGCGAAGGGAGCATGGTACGTGCCAGGGGGTGCTTGCAGGGGGGCCGTGAACTGTCATAAGGTGTCGCCGCGCAGAGGCAAGAGTCGTGTCTGTTGCTTGCGGGTCCACCACTCACCACCACTACTTCTAACCTTCTTCTATGTGTGTGCCTCTCTCTCTCCCCCCGTGTGTGTGTCTCTCTCTCTCCCCATGTGTGTGTGTCTCTCTCTCCCCATATGTGTGTGTGTCTCTCTCTCCCCATGTGTGTGTGTCTCTCTCTCCCCATGTGTGTGTGTCTCTCTCTCCCCATATGTGTGTGTGTGTTTGTGTGTGTGTGTGTGTGTCTGTGTGCCTCGTGGGACTGCGAGACGGAGAGCAATGGCAACCATGGACGCCTCAAGTGAAGGCGTGGCGCAGGAGTGGGAGAGCACCGGATGGAGCGTGGTATGTGCCAGGGGGCGCTTGCAGGGGGGGCGTGAATTGAGTCGTAGTGTGTCGCCGCGCAGAGGCAAGTGTCGTGTCTGTTGCCCTTGCTTCCGCCAGTCTCCTCCTGCTGCTTCTGACCTCCCTTGCTGTGCTGCGTCTGTGTGGCTGTCTCTCTCCCTATGCGTGTGTGTGTGCCTCACGGCCTGCGAGACGGACGGGATTGGCAGCGAGTGGACGCCAGTGGCTGCAGCGTCTGCAGCATACAAGAAGCTGTGAGTGGCGCTGCTTGGGGCGAAGGCTTGGCGCTGCTTGGGGCGAAGGCTTGGTGCTGGTTGGGGCGAAGGCTTGGCGCAGCAGCAACGGAGCAACATGGAGCAGCACACAGGCGTGGTGCAGGAAGCAGGAGGCAGAGCGGCAAAGCGGCAGACCGGGCGAATCAGGTCAAGCAGTTCACCACTTCACTTTTCACTATCTTCCTGCTTTCTGTGTTCCGTTTTCTTCAGTCTAACATTTTCCGATGGTGCTCACGAATCCATGCTTTCTTTCCATTGTTCCCAACCCATGGTGCCAACTCCCAGACCCCTCCTCTCAGCATCAGCGCATCAGCATCAGCATCAGCGCATCAGCATCAGCATCAGCGCATCAGCATCAGCATCAGCGCATCAGCATCAGCATCAGCGCATCAGCATCAGCATCAGCGCATCAGCATCAGCATCAGCGCATCAGCATCAGCATCAGCGCATCAGCATCAGCATCAGCGCATCAGCATCAGCATCAGCGCATCAGCATCAGCATCAGCGCATCAGCATCAGCATCAGCGCATCAGCATCAGCATCAGCGCATCAGCATCAGCATCAGCGCATCAGCATCAGCATCAGCGCATCAGCATCAGCATCAGCGCATCAGCATCAGCATCAGCGCATCAGCATCAGCATCAGCGCATCAGCATCAGCATCAGCGCATCAGCATCAGCATCAGCGCATCAGCATCAGCATCAGCGCATCAGCATCAGCATCAGCGCATCAGCATCAGCATCAGCGCATCAGCATCAGCATCAGCGCATCAGCATCAGCATCAGCGCATCAGCATCAGCATCAGCGCATCAGCATCAGCATCAGCGCATCAGCATCAGCATCAGCGCATCAGCATCACCATCAGCGCATCAGCATCACCATCAGCATCAGCGCATCAGCATCAGCATCAGCGCATCAGCATCAGCATCAGCGCATCAGCATCACCATCAGCATCAGCGCATCAGCATTAGCGCATCCGCATCAGCGCATCAACATCAGCATCAGCGCATCAGCATCAGCATCAGCATCAGCATCAGTGCATCAGTGCATCAGCATCAGCGCATCAGCATCAGCATCAGCATCAGCATCAGCATCAGCGCATCAGCATCAGCGCATCAGCATCAGCGCATCAGCATCAGCATCAGCATCAGCATCAGCATCAGCATCAGCGCATCAGCATCAGCACATCAGCACATCAGCATCAGCATCAGCATCAGCATCAGCGCATCAGCATCAGCATCAGCTTCAGCGCATCAGCATCAGCATCAGCATTAGCGCATCAGCATCAGCGCATCAGCATCAGCATCAGCATCAACATCATCATCAGCAACAGCGCATCAGCATCAGCACATCAGCACATCAGCATTAGCATCAGCATCAACATCAGCGCATCAGCATCAGCATCAGCATCAGCGCATCAGCATCAGCATCAGCATTAGCGCATCAGCGCATCAGCATCAGCATCAGCATCAGCATCATCATCAGCATCAGCGCATCAGCATCAGCACATCAGCACATCAGCATCAGCATCAGCATCAGCATCAGCGCATCAGCATCAGCATCAGCATCAGCATCAGCGCATCAGCATCAGCATCAGCTTCAGCGCATCAGCATCAGCATCAGCATTAGCGCATCAGCATCAGCGCATCAGCATCAGCATCAGCATCAACATCATCATCAGCATCAGCGCATCAGCATCAGCACATCAGCACATCAGCATTAGCATCAGCATCAACATCAGCGCATCAGCATCAGCATCAGCATCAGCATCAGCGCATCAGCATCAGCATCAGCATTAGCGCATCAGCGCATCAGCATCAGCATCAGCATCAGCATCATCATCAGCATCAGCGCATCAGCATCAGCACATCAGCACATCAGCATCAGCATCAGCATCAGCATCAGGCTGGAGCACGGGCCGCTGCAGGGTGCTGCTTGGGCTGAAGGCGTGACTGAGGAGCCGCAGGTTTCGCCAAGGAGGAGGAAGCACTTAGCTGGAACGCGGTATGTGCCAGGGGGTGCTTGCTGGGTTTCAACTTCAGCAATGGACACGTGATTGCAACTTCCCCATGTGCTTCCAAGTTCCCTCTGTGTGCTGGTTGCTTGATATTGGTTGTGTTCTTGTCTAGGCAGCATGGCGGTCTACCACCAAGAGGTGAAGATGGCCTGCTGCTGAGCTTGGCTGTGTTTGGCGCCATGCTTCACTGTTCTTACCTGTGCTTAGCTTGCCTAGCTGTGCTTAGTTGTGTGCTAGGTGTGCTGTGTTGTGCTGGGCTGGGATGGGATGGGATGGGTCTGCACGATGTAGATTAGGTGGGTGGGGTCTGGAAGGCGCCTGGGCACAAACACCCAAGCAGGACAGAGTGGCCTCCTGCAGGCGCTGTGGCACTGTGGCATGATGGCATGCCCGATGGCCTGCCGTGGCATGAGCAGGACTTGGCTGCTACAAGCCAAGCCCTCGTTCACGGACGTGAGTGGGCATGAGAGGCACGCACCGTGATAAGATGGAACTGCAGGGCACCCACTGCAGCAGCCTGCATGTACAGCACAGGTAGGTGCTGAACAGCAAGCCCACCAGCCAAATATCCAGCCAAAACAACCATCCAGGCAGGCACGCAGCCAACCAGCCTACCAATCAACCACGACTTGACATAACGACTATTCATACAGCAAAATAATGAACCTTGCATGCAAACAAGGAGCTCCATATTTCTCTACAGACTAAGACCCACTGAACTGAAGTGGAAACAAAGCACCGAATGCTCTGACTGGTCCCTGACACGTCTAGTGTGTAAAGGTCACTACAGTTGTCTTCCAGCCTTTGAGAAGGTACATTACCTATATAACATGCCCACACAGTTCCTAGCATATTGTACAAATGGCGTAGTAGGCAAGCTGAAGTATTATAGCCAGTGTGCCGAAATCGAGCACTTCTTCAACACGCTGATTGGACAACCGTGCACGTCGCACCCACTTCAGGCAAGGGTGCTACGGTCATTCATCTGTGTGCTAAACTTTCGGCATTACTTCACCGCTTTCGACCGCAGCGCAACATACGGGACCGTGGTGCTGGCTCCGTGGATACCAGTATCAACCGTGACCAATGCAGATGAGTGAATCTATGCGACCCAAACTTGTCATGTTGAGCATGGCTGCACAGTACTGCAGTCCGTGCCGCGTAAGTTAGCATCTATGTTTTACCCCACACTATTTCCGAGCCGTGCATGTTGGCCGAACTCCTAGTGCGCGCGTTACTCCTTGTTGCGAAGAGGGAATTATTCGGTTCTGCCTTCGGTGTGTTCCTCGCGTAACATCGGCATTCTTAGGATTCGCCGCGCCGCGAGATCTACGTGCGACGCGACGAGCCTCGTGGCTTGTCGTGTCTTCCTCGTTATTACGTGCTCCCTGTCGACGTAGACTCTTCCCGATCACCGTGCTTACTTTTGCTTCTAAGCGCCAGATCCGGCGCATTCCGCTGCCGTCGCTTGCACGCGGATCGCTCTTTCCCGAATCCACATTGGTGCGCTTACTCGTTCTTAAGCCATCGCCCCGCCATGGCAAGCAGTGGCGGCGGCGATGGTAGCGGCGGGAGCGGCGGAGGAAGTGGGCGGTCGGTGCGGGAGCTGAAGAGCATGTTCGGCAAGGCCGCCGCCGCGCCGTCCGCCGCCGCATACGTCAGCAAGCTGCAGGCCGCCACGGCTAGGGACCAGCCCTCCGGACAAGGCGGCGGAAAACAGGCGGAGGATTCCCCGCTCTCCGCCGCGCAGCAGGCGCTCCGCTCCCCTTCCCCGCTGGCGCTTCCAGTCCAGCGGGACAAGGGGAATCCGCCCAGCGGCGCACTTCCGCCGAACGCGCGTTCCGCCTCTCCGTCCCCCGTCCCTGCGCGCACCATTCTCACCACCCCCGGGCAGGCCGCGCCTCGCCCTTCCCATTCCGCGCAACCTGACGTCAGCAAGGCTGCAGCGGGTGCGGAGGAGCGGGGCGGCGGCGGAGGGGCAGGGGGGAGGGAGAAGGGGACGGCGAGTCATGCGGCTGCGGCGGCACAGACGCAGGTGAGAGCATGAGGGGCTGCTGAGACAATGCTGACTGAATCTGGGATGAGGAGGTGCGGATGGGGAGAATACTTAGGAAACGCCAGTGCTCGTTACTCTCATCCCTTTCCTCCCTCTCGCCTCCCCTCCCCCTTCTTCCCCTTGACGAGTTTACATTCCCCCACCCCCCTCGTCTTTTCCCCTCCGCCAGCTGAGCGCGGAGCAGGCGGGGCGGCTGAAGCAGGTGGAGGAGAGCCTCGAGGCCACCAACTACGAGCTGGCGCTCAAGTATCGCCCCCCCCCCTTTCCGCTTTCTCTCCCAACCCCCCCTCTCCACACCCCTCCTTCCGCTTCCAGCTAAGCAGCGAGCAGGCGGGGCGGCTGAAGCAGGTGGAGGAGAGTCTCGAGGCGACCAACTACGAGCTGGCGGCGCTGCGGGCGAAGCACAACGAGAAGACGGCGCGGCTTAAGGCGCTGCAGGAGAGCAACGTGACTCTCGAGCACAAGGCCAAGGGGCTGCAGGTGAGTTTTGAGACATGTGCCGTGCTGCAGGTGAGGGCGAAGCACAATGAGAAGACGGCATGACTCAAGGCCGTGCAGGAGAGCAACGTGACGCTGGAACACAAGGCGAAGGGGCTGCAGGTGAGACACGTGGAGTTCTGCAGGGAAGACACGTGGCATGCTGCAGGAGAGCAACGTGACGCTGGAACACAAGGACAAGGGGCTGCAGGTGAGGCCGCCACGTGGCGGGCTGTAAGTGAGACAAGTGGCGGGCTGCAGGTGAGAATGCACGAGAACAGTTATTCTTGGTGCAGTTTTCCTCTGAAGTTCACGGGCTGCTGGCTTGTCTGAATGGAATGCAGCTACCTGGGGCACATGAGAAAACACGTGGGGAATGGTGCGGGCAGTGTGGTGTGGTATTGAGGGGCAGAAATATTGTTTTCTTTTTGGTTTCCCCTCTCCCCCCCGGCCACCACTGCCCTTCCCAACCCACCTGCATCCACACTCTCCCCCATCCCCCCACACCCCTCCCAGGCAATGCTAACGGCAGCAGAAGCCGAGATCCTGGGTTCGAGAAGGAGAAGGAGGCGCTGCGGCGGCAGGTGGAGGAGGAGGAGGCGGGGTAGTGCTCGTGAGGCGCCTCAAAAACCCGCATTCAAACAACAACCCCATCCCCCCGCCCTCCTCCCAGGCAACGCTAACGGCAGCAGAAGCTGAGATCGCTGGGTTCGAGGAGGAGAAGGAGGCTTTAAGGCGGCGGGTGGAGGAGGAGGAGGCGGGGAAGCGCGAGGCAGCCGTGCGGAGTGCCTTGGAGCGGCAGCAGGAGGAGCGAATCGCCCCGCTGCAGTCCGCACTACAGACGCTGGATGCCGCCCATGAGGGGGCGATGAAGGAGCTGGTTTTGCTAAGAGAGTCTTTTAAAGCGTCGGTGGAAGAGGGTAAGTATTTAAGAGCTAGGCAGTCGGAAGGGGAGGTGCAAGTGGTTGAGCTAAGGAGTATGCAGGAGGTGGTTTTGGGGGATTTGGAATCACTGAGAGGTCGATATGAGAGTGTGTGTAAGGAGCTTGAGGAGGAGAAGGAGGGGAGGGAGAGGGAGAGGAAGGAAGGGAAGGAGGCGAGGGAGAGGGCGGAGAGGTTAGAGATGGAAAAAGCGAAGTGGGGGGGGAAGATGGAGGAGGAGAGGAGGATGAGGGAGGAACTGGAGGGGGAGGTGGAGAGGGAGAGGAGGGATCGAGCAGAGGTAGAGGGGAGGTTGGAGGCAGTACGGGAGGAGAGAGAGGCGGAGAAGAAGGCTAGGGAGGAGGCGCAAGGTGTGTGTGAGGGATTGAAGAAGGATGTAGAGCGGTTGGAGGGAGAGGTGGAGGCGTTGAAAGCAGGGAGGGACGAGACTGGACGGCTGTTGGCAGGGGCAGAGGCGGAGAGGGAGGAGGAGGCGAAGATGGTTCAAAGAGTGAGGGAAGAGAAGGACGAGAAGGAGAAACAGCTGGGGGAGTTGAGAGAAGAGCATGGGAGGACGCAAGGGGAGCTGGAGGCACTGCGACTGCAGTATAGGAGCAAGGAGGTTGCGTTTGATACTCTGGTGGTGAGTCATGGTGCCATGGGTGCTGCGGTGGAGGCTATGAGAGGCGAGATGGAGGAGAAGGCTCGGCAGGCGGAGGCTTCTGCCAAGGCTGCGGACGAGGCTCGGCAGCAGATGCTGGAGGCTCGGGAGGAGCTTGGGAAGGTGCAGGGGGAACTGGAGAAGGTGGTAAGTGAGGTGGAGAGAGTGAGGGAGGAGGTGAGGGGGAGGGAGAGCGAGATTGGGGAGATGAGGGAGAGGCATGAGAGGGAGGTGGCTGAGAGGGAAGAAGAGGTGGAGAGACAGCTGGGTGCGTTGAGGAGTGAGTTGGAAGAGAGTAGGAAGAAAAGAGAGGAGGCTGAGACACGGGAGGGGGAAGTGAGAAAGGCAAGGGAGGAGGTGGAGAGGGCGAGGGAGGAGGAGGAGAGGGAGAGGAGGAAAGCAGAGGAGGAGGTGAGGAGGATGGAGGAGGAGGTGGGGAGGGAGAGGGAGGAGCGGAGGAGTGAGGTGGAGGGGTTGAGGGAAGCACAGGAGCAGCTGGAGGAGAAGAGAGGGGAGGCTGAGGGTGAAGTGAAGAGGATGACTGAGGAGGTTGAGAGGGTGAAGGGGGAGTGTGAGGAGAGGAGGAAAGAGGGTGAAGAGAGGAGCAGGGAAGTGGAGGAGAAGTGTGAGGAAGTGAGGGTGGTGAAGGGTGAGTTGGAGGAGTTAAAAAGGGAGATGGAGGGATTGAGGGAGAAATTGGCAGAGAGGGAGAGGGACTTGGAACGAATGAGGGGGGAGCTGGAGGCAGTGAGAGGGGAGAGGGAGGAGGGGAGGAAGAGAGAGGAGGAGCTGAGAGGACAGCTGGAAGCAGCAAAGGTGGAAGCTTCCAGGAAGGAGGCGGAGCTGCTGGTGCGAGTGGAAGAGGCAGGGAAGGGGAGAGAGGCGGCAGAGAGGGCTGGGGAGGAGAGGGGGAGGGAGAGGGATGAGATGAAGGCGGCTCTGTGGGTGGAGAAGGGGAAGGTGGAGGTGGGGGAGGAGAGAGTGAGGGGGTTAGAGAGGGAGATGGAGGAGGTGAGGAAGGGGAGGGAAGAGATGGGTGAGAGGGTGGGGCAGCTGGAGAATCGATTGGAGGAGGCTGGTGCTGAGCTGGCAGCGGCGCAGGCTGATGTGGCGAAGCGTGTGGATGATTTGGCACGGCTGAAAGCTGAGGTGGACTCAAAGGGGGTTGAGCTGGATGGGGTGAGGAAAGAGCTGGAGAAGGAGAAAGAGCAGCACAGAGAGACACGGGAGGGCCTGGAGGGGATAAGAGAAGAACACAGGGAGGCAAAGGAGGAAGTAGCGAGGCTTAAGGAGCAGCTTGCAGGGATCGGGGGCGAGAAGGAGGCTCTAGGAAACGCACACACGAAGCTAGAGGAGGAGGTGAAGGAACTGCGTGCAAGGTGGGAGGAGGTGATAAGGGAGAGGGAGGAGGAGAGGGTCAAACATGCCGGTGTGGTGGTGCGGTTGGAGGGGGTGCAGAGGGATGTGGAGGAGGCGCGAGGGAGAGAGGAGGAGAGGAAGAGAGAGGTGGAGGGGTTGCAAGAGAGAGTGAGTGAGGCAGAGAGGGAGGTTGTGGAATGGAAGGGGAAGTGTGCTGAGCTGGAAGAGGGGACGAGCCGGGTCAGTGCCAAGCTGGCAAAGGTAGAGGCTGAGCTGGCAGCTTCGCTGGCGGCTGCTCAATTGGCAACTGTAGAGGTGGCGGGGGTGAGGGAAGAGGCCAGGGTGGCTCGGTCCGAGGCTGATCAGCTTCGGGAAGAAGTGGCTCGGCAGACAGCCAAGGCTGAGGCTCGGGAAGAGGCGCGGAGGGTTTGGGAGGAGAAGCATAGGGAGGCAGTGGCAGAAGGAGAGGTGAGGAAGCAGGAAGCAGAGAAGGTGGCTGCTGACGCAGACAAGATGCAAGCTGAGCTGGCGGTGATGATGGGTGAGGTGGCAGCTGTGTCAGCATCGCTGTCAGCTGCAAAGGTTGAGAGTGAAGCGGCGAGGAAGAAGCAGGAGGAGGCCGAGAGGCAGGTGCAAGTGGTGCAGGTACAACTGAGAGATGCTCAGAGGGAATTGGAGGAGGCGAAGCGAGGGGTGGTGGAGGCTAGGAGCGTGGGGGACGGGGAAAAGGGAAGAGCAGAGGTAGCTATGAGGCAAGCTGCAGAGGCGTGGGAGGAGGTGGGGCGGTGGAAGGGAGAGGCCGAGCGGAGCAAAACCGATGTTGAGTTGCTAGAGAGGGAGGTGAAGGGGAGGGAGGGGCGGATTGAGGAGCTTAGGAGGGAGGTGAGAGAGAGGGAGAGTGAGGTGGTGGAGTTGCAGCAGGAGATGGAGAGAGTGAGAAAGGAGATGGAAGAAGTGAGTGTGAGAGAGGAGGAGTTGGCCGCGACAGTGAATAGGGTGATTGGGGAGGAGCAGGGGAAGGTGGCTGCGGCTCAAGAGAGAGTGAGGGAGGTGGAAGGGGAGAAAGAGAAGATGGAGGAGAGAGTGAGAGAGGCTGTTGGGGAAAAGGAGAAGCTTGAGGAGAGAGTGAGGGAGGTGGAGGGGGAAGTGGAGAGGGTGAGGGGGGAGAGGGTGAGGATGGAAGAGGAGGTGGTGAGTGTGAGGGAGAGAGCAGGGGAGGTGGAGAGGGAAGTGGAAGAGTTGAGAAAGGAGAGGGATGAGCGGAGCAAAGAAGTTGACGAGTTAAACGCCAACCTGGCAGCGCTCCATGCTGAGGTGGAAAAGGTGCAGTCAGAGCTGGCAGAAGCAACCGGAGATCTGGAGAAGGAAAAAGCGGTAAGGGCAGTGGTAGCAGCAGAGATGGAAGGACTCAAATCCCTGCATGCTCTGCTGCAGGAGGAGCATGGGCGAATGGTATCAGAGCAGGATCGGCTGGTGGGGGCGTACGAGAGGGAAGTGCAGGAGAAGGACGAGGTGAAGGCAGAAAAAGCAGCGCTCGCTGCTAAGGTTGCCGAGGCAGAGGTCCGGACCGAAGCTGTGAAGGAGGAACGGGTTCGGGCGGCTGCCGAGGCTGAGGAGGCTCGGGAAAAGATCAAGGCTGAAGTGGAGCAGGCTCGGCAGGAGCTGGTTCGGAGGGAGGAGGAGGTGCGGGTGTTGAGAGAGCAAAAGAAAGAGGAGGTCGAAGCATTGAAGCAGCAGCAGCAGGAGCAGCAGCAAAATCAGCAGCGGGAACAGGAGAAAGAGATTCAAGCGTTGAAAACGGAGGTGGAGGAGTTGAAGCAGCAGCAGGCTGTGGGTGTGCAGGATGTAAACACGTGGAAGACAGCTAATGAAGTGCAAGTTGCTGAGCTGGCAACAGTCAAGGCTGAGCTGGAAACCGCCCATGCTGTGCTGGCAGAAATGAAGATTGAGCGCGAGAGTAAAGAGCGTGAGCTGGCAGCAGCTGCTGACGAAGCAAAGGCGAAAGAAGAAGCTGTGAACGAGAAAGAGGAATTATGCAGCAAGCTGACAAATGAGCTGGAATCGCTGAAATCTGAGCTGGAAATTCGTAATGCTGAGCTGGCAGCGCTGACGGTGAAGGACGAGGGGATAGCAGTGGCAGTGAGGGAGCAGATGCAGGCTCGGAGTGAGGCGGAGGGGCAGGTGAAAGAAGCTCAAAGGGAGGTGCAGCTGGTGCAGGCTCAGCTGGGGGAGGTGCGATCTGAGTGTGAGGGGCTGAGGGGTGAGAAGGAGAGGCTTGAGAGGGAGGTGGACGAAGGAAGGAGAGCGGTTGTTGAGAAAGAAAAAGAGGCTGAGAGGATGGTGGGAGAGGTGGAGAGAGGGAGGGCCGAGGCTGCAAAGGCGGAGGGAAGAGCAGAGGTGCTGCAAGGAATGGTGGCTGCACTGACAGTAGAGCTAGGCGCTCTGAGGAAGGAGCTTCAGGAGGAACGGGAAAAATCATCTGATCGTGTTGCTGCTGCCGCTGCTGCTGCTTCTGCTGACGTGGCGTCTGCGGCTGCGGTGTCAGAGTCGCTGCGTGCCAGGCTGGCAGCGGCGGAGGAGAGAGAGAAGGAGCTGGAGCGGAGGGTGGAGGAGAGGGAGGAGCAGCTGGTGCGGGGAGTGGGGGAGGGAGAGGCGAAGGCAGGAGCAGCAATGCGAGCAGCGGAGGAGAGAGCTAAGGAGTTGCAGAGGCAGTTGAGAGAGGAGGAGGCGAAGGTGGTGGCAGCGGTGGCAGGGGCGGAAGCAGCTGCTGCTGAGGTGGGTAGCCTGAAAGCAGAGATGGGGGAAGTGAGAGCAGCGCTGGGAGCAGCAGAGGGCGAAGTTGAGAAATTGCGAGGCGAGGTGGAGCGAGCAGAGGGTGAAGGTGAGAGGCTGCGAAGCAAGGTGGAGGCTGCAGAGGGAGAAGCAGAGCAGCTGAGAGGTGAGGTGGAGGCAGCACAGGGTGAAGCAACGGCTGCGAGAGCACAGGCAACTGCAGCGCAGAAGGAGGCAGAGACAGTAAGGGCCACACTGCGAACCACGGAGCAGGAACTCGTCGCAGCGAATACTGACGCAGAGCAGCTGAGGGAGGCGCTAGGGGAGGTGCAGAGACAGCTGCGTGTTGTGACACGTGTGAAAGAGGCCCTGGATGGCGAGGTGAGGAAGTGGAGAGAGGAGGCGGTGCTGCGGCAGAAGGTGGAGAGCGCGGAGGAGGGTGGGCGGGCTGAGAGGCGCGTGATTGGGCTGTGGAGGGGCGCTGTTGAGGGCGCTCAGCTGCTGCAGCAGCGGCCGGGACAGCAGCTTGGGGGGCAGCAGCAGGGGCAGCAGGGTGGGCAGCAGCAACAGGGGAGGCTGGCATCGAGTATGTCAGTTGACAGCGGCCAGCTGCTGGGGCACCTCTCAGATACCACCCCTGCACCCCCTCTCCCCGCAGCTCCTCCTGCTGAAGCTGCCGCCGCTGCTGCTGCTGTTTCTGGTGCCACCACTGCCAGCAGTGCTGCCCTTGCCACTGCACCTGCAGCAGCAGCAGCAGGTTCCCCAGCAACAACTCTCCCGCCCCGCCCCCCCACTCCAGCCTCCGCCCCTCCCAAGGTCTCCCATGCCTCCCAGCCTGTCCCCCTGCTCGCCCTGCCAGTTGGCGCCTCCTCCAGTAGCACTGCCCCTGGAGTGTCCCACTCAGCTCCACCTGCTGCTGATGGCAGTGCAGCTGAAGCTGGCTTCAATCCAGACCGTGTTGCTCCTCAAGGGCTTTCCACACCAGCACCTGCTCAGGACCAGGGTCTTGTGGTGCATGAGGGCGACGTGATTGGTGGAGGCACTTTGACAACTGCTGCTTCGTCCGGTTCACCCGCTGCTGCTGATGCCGTGCCGGCCTTGCCAGTCACCCCTGCCACTGCACCAGGCCCTCACACGATCCCTCACTCTGCCACATCTTCTCGCACTGGCTCCCACACTCCCACTCTCGGCTTCTCTCATTTCATCCATCGCTCAAAGACAGACACTGCACGGGCACGCCCCTCATCCGCCGATTTCACCTCCGCAGTCAAAGCTGTGCGCCTCGTTTCCGCATTTCGCAGCCCTGGCACAGGCAACGCCAGCCCTGCAGCCCAGGGAAGCCCGAGCCGGAGCCGTAGGCCGGGGAGCCCTGGTTCGGCAAGTGCAGGGACGAAGGCGAGTGGTAGTGGAGGAGGGACGCTGAGAAGGATTGGTACAGGGATGGTGGGGCGGTGGAGGGGTGGCAGTCAGAGTGCAGGTGGCGCCAGTGGAGGCAGTGGTGTGGAATCTCAGGCTGAGCTGGGGGAGGTTCAGCCTGCACCTGCGCCTCGCACACAGAGTGATGCGCACTAGGCTTGGTGCTTGTTTATCAGTATCTTGTTAGGCTATGGAACCGTAGTTACTACGTAATGGTTAGCCTAGATTTGTGTTGTGACTCTAATGGTAGTGTAGTGGTAGGGCAGAATCTTGCAGAAACCAATTTGTTTTGGTGTAGTATTTATTAATTTTTATATCAGCAACTGTTCCTCAGCCGTGCCCCTTGTTTATTCGCAACTATCAACGGATCACTCTCCCAGAGTCCCTCAAAGGCTGGAGGGGGCTCCTGGATTCTGGCCCGCGGTCCGCAAGGCGGCTGGTGACATGGCCACTTTGGCGGGAAGTTTCAACTGACCCTGCTGGGCTGGATTTTACGTGCCGTTGGCGTTCAGCACGTTGAAATCACGCGTTCTTTGGCTGTGCTGTACACGTTTTCATGGGGCGAAGGTTTTTATTGCAGCTCACGCACCTGCCCGAATCGAACTCACAAAGCCCATTCACTAGAATTGTTTGTGGATTTGTAAGTCTTCCGCTACACTCCAGCTCCCGAAGTCGTGGAATGTGCTGGTTCAATGTGCGTAGGACAGCAGTTGGCGTCCACTTGACTGAAGTCTGTCTCGGTTTACGTTTGGTGCCAGGCACGGGCAGGCAGGCCGTGCCCGCCATGGCAGCCCTGTGCTGGCTCCTTGGCGGCGCAGTTCCCTTGGTTGTGTTGGCACCACCTTGGTCCGTGCTGAGCTGAACAATCCCCTATGTCCGAGAAGTAGTAGTGCTGCTGGATCAGTTTCTACAAGTCCATACATATGCTGCTATAGCTTGTCATTTACTAGGCTCTAATAGTTCCTTCATTCCAGCTCCAGCCTAGCTCATTCCAAGCTTCGTTTACATCATATCGTTTTGTGATATTCTGATGTTGCTGTGACTGCTTTCGATGTGCGTTTAAGGGTCAGACGATTTAACTTCAGCTTAATATGTTGGTTAGATTCCAAATTTCTCCTGGGCTTATTCTAGCATCCTTTGTCTTTAGCCACAGCAGCATCAACCGCTGCAGCTTTTAGCGAGAAATACCCGACGTTACTTACGCAGCTTCCGTGGCCTCTATCCGTGATACTAACGAGGTTCAGTGAAGACAAGAAGAGATTAGGGATGGCTGACGAGCGGCGGCGGCCCATTCGAGTGTACATGGACGGATGCTTTGACATGATGCATTACGGCCACGCCAACGCGCTTCGACAAGCCAAGGCGCTAGGCGACGAGCTCGTGGTCGGAGTGGTGTCAGACGAGGAGATCCTCTTGAATAAGGGCCCTCCCGTCGTGTCGCTTGAAGACAGGTGAGATCTTAGCTTCCCAGGCCCCGAAAAAATAAATTGTGTAGAGAAAAAAAAAAAATTAAGGGGGGAATGGATTTACGTGTATATGAACCTCCACCATCTCTCCTCCACCCTCGTCAGGTAGTTCAAAGACAGGTGAGATTTAGATCCATGGTACCTCGTCCTCGCCGTTGCGCACAGCAGCACATTGATCTGGAGGAGCCCGCCTAAACCCCTGCGTTGCCCGACCTCTCCGTGTTACCCCCACGCTCCTCACGCACCTCCACCCCCAACCCTAAACGCACGCGCACCCGCACCTCCCCTCGTACAGCATCCCACCAGCTTTCCTCCTCCGCCTCTTCGCCACCGCGTGTTGGGACCTCTCAAACCACCCCTCTCCCCTTCATCCCATACAGAATGCCCAGGGAGCGTCTGAAAGTTGAAGCAATTAGAAACATCACTTACGAACAAATAACCCCTTCTTGTCCCCCTTCCCCCTACATTTCACCTCTCCTAGCACCCTCCACCGCGTCGACTTCATCGTCCCCTCTCTCTGCTCTTCCTCCACTCCCCTCCTGCACCACCACCTTCCCCACTCCCCATTGTAGAGTGCGCATGGTGCGGGAGGTGAAGTGGGTGGACGAGGTAGTAGTAGGCACGCCGTACTGCATCACCCCCGCCTTCATGCACCGCCTCTTCACGCATCACCGCGTCGACTTCATCATCCACGGTGACGACCCCTGCCTGCTTCCCGACGGCTCCGACGCGTACGCGGAGGCCAAGCAGGCGGGCCGGTACCTCGAGGTGCGCCGCACGGAGGGGATCTCCAGTACGGATATCGTCGGCCGGATGCTGCTCTGCGTGGGCAGCCGCACGGCCGCCACGGAGGCGCAGCAGCAGCAGTCGCTGGAGCGCGAGTTTGCCCACACGGGGTCGCCCTCGCCCTCGGAGCAATGTAACCGCCCTGGATCTCCCCGTGTTGGATCGCCGTCGCTTCCGCCTCGACTTTCCTCTCCGCTCCTACCCGCTGCGATGCTCTCCGCCTCCCCTGTTCCATGCTCGCCCCTGCGACCGTCTCTCCTTCCGTCCTCCTCCCCTTCCCAAGCGCCATCTACTGAAGCCGCCTCGTCACCTGCGCATGCCTCTGCCGCTCCACCCCTCCACCGCGACTCTCCCCCATCCTCCCCAGCCCACCTGTCCAGCTCCCCCGCGCCCCTCCCCGCGCACTCCCCTCTTTCACTAGCGCCCGCGCTACCCTCCTCCCCTTCCTGCGCATCCCTCCCCTCCTCCGCCTCCTCCGGCTCACTCTGGGGGCTCTCCGCCTCCCCCTCCTCCTCCGCCGCCTCCTCCCCCCTGCTCCCCCCGTCCCTTGCGCCCCTCGCCTCCGCGCGCGTGTCGCGCTTTCTCCCCGCCACCTCCACCGTGCTCGAGCTCAGCAGCCACCAGGTAGGTCGGGGCCGCGGGGTGGGTGGGAGGGGGAAAGTCGGGTGAGAGGTGACAGACGAAGTGGGTGGCAAAGCGACAGCCTTTTTGGTCTTTCTCTCCGCTGCCTCCTCTCCCTCCCCTCATCACACTCTCCCGTTTCCTCTTTACCCCAGTTTCCGCCTTCCCCATTCCCCCTTACCCATTCCCCTTTTCCCCTGTGTCCGCGCGCGCAGCCGCGCAGCATAGACCCATCGGCGCGCGTGGTGTACATCGATGGGGCGTTCGACGTCTTCCACAGCGGCCACGTGCAGGTGAGATCCAGCACGTGGGCCACGTGCAGGTGAGGTAGGCCACGTGGGTCACGTGCAGGTGGGGTACGCCACGTGGGTCATGCAGGTGAGGTAGGCCACGTGGGCCACGTGTAGGTGAGGTAGGCCACGTGGGCCACGTGCAGGTGGGGTAGCCCACGTGGGGTCCAGCACATGCCACGTGCAGGTGGGGTGGGCCACGTGTCCTTTATACCACTGCGTACCTTTCAATAACGTACTAAAGCAAAGCAAATTAGAAGCAAACTGTATTCACCGACCGTTTCCTTCCCCAAACACCCCTCCCACCCCACACAGACGCTACGAGCAGCCAAGGAGCTGGGCACGTTCCTGCTGGTGGGCGTGCACAGCGACGCCACAGTGCGGGCGAACCGAGGGCAGCACCACCCCATCATGGGCATGCACGAGCGCTGCCTCTCGCTGCTCGCCTGCCGCAGCGTTGATGAAGTCGTGCTGGACGCCCCCTGGGTCGTCTCCGACCAACTGGTATGCCCGCCTGTGCTGTGCTTCTGAGTGTGTCTCCCACCCGCCCCATGCCCACCCGCCTCATGCCCACCCGCCCCATGCCCACCCGCCTCATGCCATTCGCATGCTCCAGACCGCTTGCATCGTCCCCTCCCGCCCCTCGTACTTCCTCTATGCCAGCTATCCTCCGTACATGTTCCAACTGCCGGCTGCTCCTCCTGCATTGCCCCTCTCCGCCACCCCCCTGTGTGTGTGTGTGTGTGCATGGATGCGGCATGGCACACACAGATGGCAGCGTACAACATCTCCCTCGTCGTGCACGGCACTGTTGCCGAGTCCAACCCCCTCTGCCAGGTACCCTCCCCTGCCTGCTTCTCTCCTTCCCTCTCTGCCCTGTGCCCCATGCCCCGTGGGGCAAACTGTGCTTTGTTTACTGGTTCTCTTGTTGCTGACTTTATGTACGTCTCCTCACTCCCTTATGGCACATGCATCTTATGCCTGCCCTTGAGCTCCCTGCCATGCTACTCTTTGCCCCTCGCTTCCCGTCTCCCTCCCTTCACCCCCCTCTACCCCCAATCCACGTTTCCACCGTCTGCTGCTGGATTGGGTGATGGCAGGGCGAGGAGCAGCGGTACGCGGCAGCGAGGGCGAGGGGCATGGTGAGGCAGGTGGAGAGCGCTGCAGAGACCACCACCACCACCATCGTCACCCGTATTGTCGACAACCACCACGCTTACATTGTAAGAACCACCGCCGTTGCTGCCAGCGTACGACGGTCCACCATCCCATCACCACCACGCTTACATTGTAAGAACTACCGCCGTTGCTGCCAGCGTACGGCGGTCCACCATCCCATCACCACCATCACAGCACTTGCAATTTGAGGACCACTACCGGTACCTCCGTTACCATAAATGTCACCTGTTGTGTGTGTGTGCTGCCTCTCCATTCCCCCTCATGGCATCTCTGCTACCTCTCGTCCGCTCACTGCCTTGCTGCTACCTCGCTCCCTTATCCCGCACGTGGCTGCTCTCCCTCCCCCGCCCCTCGCTGCATCGCTGCTGCAGCGCCGGCATGCCAAGAAGGCAGTGAGCGAGCGGGAATACATGGAAGCAAAGAGGGCCCGAGCAGCCGTTGCCTCCTGACACTCGCGCCACTTCTGCCCCTCTTCACTGCTGCACCTGCGCTGAAGTGCGCTCATTAGAGTACCTGCAGTAGAATACTTTAGTTAACCTGCCAGGTTTGTAGTGGTGTAGTGCGTTGCAAGCAGTCTCAGCAGTGGTACCGTAGCTGTGAAAGCGGTGCACCCCCCGAGTCTTAAGAACCTAGTTGCTTGAGTAGCGAGAGAATAGGCATACTAGGTCAAAGGGAGGGATACAACCAAAGTGTCGAGAAAGTTTTGTACCCCCTAACATCCAACTCACTATAGCATATCTAACTCTATAAACATAGTTTGACACACCCCCGTAGGCTAAGTGAGGGGCATCAAAACAGGTTTTACACGCATGTGGTCACAAGACCAGTCAAGAAAAAAAACAAAGCAAGCTCAGGGTGGATCACGAAGTCACCACACATTCTGAGCTAAAACAAGAGGCCACAAGGCCAGTTCAAGCGTTCGCAGACATATATAGAAGTACAGCAAGCAACAAGAGACAAGACTACTGTAGCCAAGAGCCTACGTCAACAAGGCCTAACTGCAAACAGAACCTGTGGTGGTCACCAGGCGGAAGGGCCTTGGTGAAGATGTCTGCAGTGTTGGCCTGTGAGGCCACGAAGTCCAAGCGTGCCTGGCCACGTCGCTGCAACTCTCGCAGGAGAAAGTACCTGACGTCGATGTGCTTCACTCTGCTCTCCAGTCGAGGCTCTCGACACAGGAGGATCATGGCCTTGTTGTCAGCGAACAAGGTCGGTGCAGAGCTCGGCCGCTCACCAAGGTCAGCCATGGCACCGGCGTAGATCTCTGCCTCAGCACTAGACGAAGCCACAGAAGACGACCGAGTAGACCTCCACGACACAGCTCCAGCGCCCAAGCTGAAGCAGTAGCCCTGAGTGGACCTCTGTGTCTCCACGTCGTCGGCGTAGGAAGAGTCGCAGTGACCAGTCAGTACAACTGGCTGTGTCCCTCCAAGCACAAGTCCCATGCCTGATGTAGTCGCCAGGTACTTCGCCACCCTCACAGCAGCTGTCCAGTGAACAGGACGGTGTCTCCCAGTCGCAACAAAGCGAGAGAGGATGCTGAGGGGAAAAGCGAGGTCCGGACGAGTACAAGTCATCAGGTACATGAGGTAGCCCACAAGCTCTGCGTAGGGACCACTAGACTCAAAAGGCTCGTCGGGAAAAGGGCCGGTGAGTCTGTGGTCAACGGCAAGAGGGGTGGGCTGTGTGGTGGAGTGCTGAAGCCCGAACCGCTGAAGGACCTGCCGCACCATGTGTGACTGTGTGAGTGTGATGGTGCGAGCGGCTCTGTCCCTGGTGATCTGCAAGCCAAGGTAGCGGCGCAGCTCACCAAGGTCAGTGCACGTGTGTCTCTTCTGCAGTTCGGACTTCACCTCAGCCAGTGCAGTCCTGTCTGCTGTAGCAAAGACCAAGTCGTCGACGTAGACGAGGACGAAGAAGGGTGTGGGCCCAGAACGAACGAACAGCGACGGGTCGGCGGACGAAGGACGAAACCCGAGGGCAGCAAGCGTAGTTCGCAGCGTGTCGTGCCACTCACGGGGCGCCTGGCGGAGACTGTAGACTGGTCGCCTCAGGCTCCACTGGGTCCCAGGCGGGAAAGTGCCAGTGAAGCCGGGAGGACGACGCAACCAGATCTCCTCGTGCAGGCTGCCCTGGAGAAAGGCGGTGGAGAAGTCGAGGGAGTGCAACTCGTAGTCTCGCTGTGCTGCAACGTGTAGTAACACCCGAAGAGTCGTCATCTTCGGGGTCGGAGCGAAGGTCTGGAAGAAGTCAACTCCCTCACGCTGACTGAAACCTCTAGCCACGTAGCGCGCCTTGAACACAGGTGGCGATCCAGGCGGCCGCTTCACCTTGAAAATCCACATGCCGTCGACTATGTTCGCCCCAGGTGGGGGAACTGCGTCGACGTAAGTGCCTGTGGATCTCCAAGACGCCATCTCTGACTCCATGGCCGCTATCCACTGAGAAGCCCACTGCCCTGACACTGCCTCACGGTACGTGCGAGGAGTCGGTATGTCAAGGGCGTCGGGGTCTCCCTCAGGAGCTAGCAGCATGGCACAGAGATGGGGAGAAGCGGCCACCAAGAACTCCAGCTCAAACTGCCTGTACTCTAGGACGTCACAGCCAAGGGCAGACTCACCCCCGGCGGACAGAGGACGGGCGGCTACCACACGGGTGGCGTAGTCAAGGCGACGGGTGGCGGCAAAGTCAGCGACAGCGGCAAAAAGAGCCGAGACAGACGACGGAGAGGCACGAGGGTCCGTGACTAGAGAGGCGAGAACACGAGTGACAACAGGACGGGTGGCACGGTAGTAGTCAGTGATAGGGGTAGACGTGGAGGCTGTAAGAGACGACTCAGGAGGTGACGGGAGAACAGACTGAGGTGGAGAACGACGAGGACTCGAACAAAACAAGACAGTGCGGAGGTCGTCAAAAGGAGACGAGGGACGTGCACGTGCGGGACAACGCACTGTCCAGTCGTGCGGGACAACAGGAGGAGACGACTGTGACTGAGGAGGAGAGAAGACAGCCGGAGAAGAGTCCGGGGGGGGGAACGTAGGACCGTAAACAGGGGGAGACAGTGAGCGGTCTGGAGGAGAGGAAGGAACTCCAATGGCCCGAAGGCCACTCACAGGTGGAAACAACGGCTGCAAGGGCGGCGGCTGCTGCGACTGCTGCTGCTGCTCCTGCTGCTGCAGCTCCAGCTGCTGCTGCTCCAGCCCCAGCCTCTCCTGCTCCAACCGCTCCCGCTCCTCGCGCTCCAGCTGACGAAGCCTCTGAAAACTTGTCGGGTAGCGGTGGGGAGGTGGGGTAGGCGCCACAGTAGCAGTGCCTCCAGCTCCAGTCTCCTCAGAACTAGCACCACCAGTGCCAGCACCCCCAGTAAGAGTACCTCCAGAACGAGCACCTCCAGCGCCAGTAGCCTCAGCTCCAGCACCCTCAGAACTAGTACCTCCAGCGCCAACACCCTCAGCTCCACCACCCTCAGAACTAGCACCCCCAGCGTCCGTGCCCCCAACACCAGCACCCCCAGAACTAGCACCTCCAGCGCCAGCACCTCCAGCTCCAGCACCCCCGGAGTCCACAGTAACCTGTCGCGGAAGTGCCAAAGGCTGCTGAGGGGACTGTGAGGAGGACTGCGGCGACGCTACCTGACGCGCGACCGAGGGTAGAGGGGTAGCGTGGGACACACCTGACGGGGCAGGACCACGGGGGGGCGGGGGTACCGGAGGAGCGGGAGCAGGAGGAGGAGAGGGGGCGAGGAAAAGGGAAGGGGGGGGAACCGGGAGACCTCGACAGGGGTACCTGGTGTAGTAGGACACGGACTTGCTAAACCGGACGTCACGAGAGTAAAAAAACCGGTGGAGGGGCGGGTGGAAAAAGGTGTAGTCAGAGGAGTCCACCGGGAAACCAAGGAAGACACAGGGGATGGCGCGGGCCGAGAGCTTGTCCGCAGAGGTGTCGCGGACAAGCGCAAGGCAGCCCCAGACTCGAAACTCCGACGCAACACCAGGGGACCCAGTCCAAAGACTGGTCGGTGAAGCCCCTGGCCGAGAGACACGAGGCCAGAGGTTCAGCTGGTGGGCGGCGTAGCGAACCGCGTAGGGCCACAGAAAATGGGGCGCACGGGCATGGATCATGGAGGTACGGGCAATCTTCATGACCAAGCCTATGCGGCGCTCAGCAACCCCATTCTGCTGTGGGGACTCTGGAAGCGTCCAGGACTGGGTGATGCCCTGCTCGCTACAGAATCCACGAAGAATGCCGGAGCGAAACTCGCCCCCACGGTCGGAGTGAAGACAACTAACACGACGGCCACGTGTGGTCTCAGTGGCCAGCAACCACCTGATCAGCGTAGAAGTCACGTCGGACTTCTTCGCCAGAGGGAACACGGTGGTGTAGCGGGAGTAGTCGTCAACGACCACTAGAAAAAAGCTCTCCCTCTCGGGCCCCGGGCGAGGGGCGGGACCCCAGACGTCCAAGTGGAGAATCTGGAAAGGTGTAGTGGCCGGACGAAGGGAGGAGGAGTGAGGAGTGGCGCGCAGCCGACCCTCGACGCAAAGAGTGCACAACGGCGCAGGCGAAGGAGGGAGCGACGCAAAGACGCGCGGGAGACCTGAGACAAGACGCTGGCTAGCCATGCTGCGGAGGCGTGGGAGAGACGGGTGACCAAGACGGTGGTGCCACAAAACTGTCGGGTGAGAGAGTGACCGACAAGAGCAAGACGCAGCAACCAGACCGGACACAGCCACCTGGCCGGACACCGCAACCTGAGGGGACGCAGCAACCTGAGCGGACGCAGCTACCTGGGAGCGCTCAGTGTGCAGAACGTAGAGACCGGAGCGGGACTCTCTGGTAAACGTGGCAAGAACGACATCGGTGGCAGCGTCCGTGCAGACTGCAGTCCTCCCGCCTCCCAGAAAAGTAACTGTGATCCCCCTATCCTGGAGGTATCCAACACCTACCAAGTTCCGAGTGAACGAGGGGATGTGGAGACCTCTAAGGACACCAGAGGGGACAACCGGGCACGGGAGGGTGGTAGAGCTGCGTGCAACCGCTGGTCCTGAAGTAGGATCAGCCAGTGCAACCGAAACTGGAGCAAGAAGCGGTGTGAGAGTCGTGTGGTCGCGGAAGAAGCACTGCGACGCGCCAGAGTCCAGCGTGAAGGACAGCGACGCCTCAGCCGTAGGTGCACCTGGGCTGGTAGCTACACAAGCACCTAGTGCGGAAACACAAGCACCTAGACTAGAGAGACAAAGATCTACACTAGCAACAGGCAAAGAACCTAAACTACGAACACGCGAGCAAACAGATCCAGCAGCACTATAATCAACATCAGCATACATCACAGAAACATAGTCTAAAGCATCTACTAACTCTGCCGCAGACAAGTCCCACAAAGCAAGTCCACGAGCGCGAGCAAGCGGGGCCCAGTCCGGAGCGGGGCCAAGGCCGAACTGTGCGCGGACGCGGTCAGTAAGCTGCGCAAAGCACTGACCCGGAGCGTGGAAACGGCCACAGCGAAAACCCGCACGACCGCCTGACTGAACCACGTACGGGCAGGGAGGCGGAGTGACACCACGCAACGCCGAGCTGGGCGGACCACCGCCACGACCAGCGCTTCCTGGTCCACCAGGTCCCCACTGCTGAGGCTGCTGCTGCACCTGCCGCTGAACCTGCTGCTGCGGCTGTCCCTGCTGCTGCGGCTGTCCTGACTGTGGCTGCTGCTGCTGGGACTGCTGCCGCCGCTGTGCCGTGTACCACGTAACCGCACCAGCACCCCCTCCTGTCGGGCCCGCAGGCGCAGGGCCGCTCCCAGTGTCGCCTCCACCGGACGCACTAGTGTCACTAGAGCCTCCGGCACCCCCGCCACCACCACCAGCGCCACCACCCTTCCCCCCTCTCTTACCTCCCTTACCCCTAGACCGCCCACCCGCGGTGGACACGGCCGCAGTCTCCAAAAGAGAAGAAGACGCAGTAGAGGCAAGAGAAGCAGTGAAGGTGGGAAGCTGTGGGACAGTGCATCCCTGAAAGAGCGGGGGAACTACGGCGCCAGATGCGGAGGCAACGGAGCGGATATTGCTCTCGATGTCCTTGAGAGCGGTCTCAAGGACATCGATGGTGAGCTCACTAGGGTGCTTCCGAAGAAGCTCGTCACGGACAGGTGCAAGGCGGTCAGGGAGGCTAGTGGCGATAAAGTGAATAGTGATCGCCATGGGCGGGGGGAGCAGTGCAAGCTGAGCCTCAGTACAAGCAGCACGGTAGCTGACGTCTAGCGAGCGCAGGTGGGTGATAAGATCAGCAGCGCGGTCAAACGAGCCTAAGTCAGGAAAGAGAAACGGCAGAAAGAGGCGACCAAGGGAGGCGGAGGTGGGAGTGGAGTAACGTGTCTTAATGGCAGTGAGCAGGTCCTTGGCAAATCGAACCTGAGAGAAGTGAGCCTCCTCAGTCTCGGGGAGAAGGCTGGAGAGGGCAATGCATGCCGCAACGTCACGCGACTGCCACACTGAACGAGCGGTACGGGCTTTATCGAAGCGCGCCTGGGCCGCCTCGTCAGGCTGAGCACCCAGGTCAGGAGGGGACGGAGGCTCAGGCAGGTCACCGGAAGCGTGCGCCCAGAGCGTATCATTGTCCTGGCGCTGAGAAACCGCTCGGCACGGATGAGCCAGGAGGGGAACTCTAGGGCTCTACCCTCAGCATCAAAACGCAGTACACGAGGGGCCGCCATAACGAGGGAACTACCGGCCTAGGAGCGCAGAGCTAGAAGGGGCCGGAGCTAGAAACAAGTGAGGCGTACGGTGCCCGAAGAGACGAGGCGAGGAAGAGCCTGAGCTAGGAGCGACCTAAGCCAGAGTGGCGAGGCCTAAGTGCTAATTGAGAACCGAGTGAGGCGAGGGACAAATGAAGTCAGAGGTTCGAGCCTAGGTCACGCTAGTAGAGAGTACTGCGGCCGCCAGCCGCTGTGAGTGGAAAGCCAGTGGCAGTAGGCGGTAGGAAGGTGCTGCACATGCAGAAAGGAGTGGTTGGGTGCGTTCGAGTGCGGTGGGGAGCGGTCAGGTACGGTTCAAAGCGGTGGAGTGCAGTCGAGAGCGGTTAGGAGCGGTGAGGAGCGGTTAGAGGCGGGTATGAGCGGTTCGGAGCGGTGAGGAGCGGTGAGGAGCGGGTATAGGCGGATAGGAGTGGTAAGGAGCTGGTAGGGGCGGATAGTAGTGGTTAGGAACGGATTCTGGAGCACGGGCTGCAGCTGCTGCGCTCGCTGCAGATGCGGAGGCAGGTGCTGCGCTTGCTGCCGCTGCACGCGCGTGGCTGCGGCTGCTGCAGGGCGTGCGTGCGAGTGGCTGCAGAGGAGTGTGCAGCTGCTGCTGAAACCGTGCGTGCAATGGCTGCTGCGTGCGCGAGAGGCTGCTGCTCGCACGCGTGCAGTGACGTGCGTGCTCGCGGCTGCTGCAGCGCGTGCGGCTGCTGCAACGCGTGCGGCTGCTGCTGCGCGTGTTGACGCTGCTGTGCGCGCGTGGCGAGCGTGCGTGCGGACGGCAGCTGCAGTGCGCGGCTGCGATTCGTACTGCTGGCGCACGTGCACCCGCGTGCGCGTGCGCTGCTGCGTATGCGTGGCTGCGCGCGCGTGCGATCGTGCGAGCTAGGGGGGGCCGCGCGGGCTGCGCGCGAGGGTAAGGGACAGGGTGGGGCGCGGACGGGTAAGGAGCGTGACGACGGGGCAGGCTAGGGGCGGGGCCTGCGAACGGACAGGGCGCGGCCTGCTAAGGGGACGGGGCACGACGTGCTAAGGGGCGGGGCGATTTGGGGCTAGGCTAGGAAGTCACCTACTCATGATACCATCTTAAGAACCTAGTTGCTTGAGTAGCGAGAGAATAGGCATACTAGGTCAAAGGGAGGGATACAACCGAAGTGTCGAGAAAGTTTTGTACCCCCTAACATCCAACTCACTATAGCATATCTAACTCTATAAACATAGTTTGACAGTCCAGACATGTGTTGGTATCAAAACTGAATGATGGTGTTGTCTGTGGCGTTAAATCCTGGCATCATGGCTCAGTATACGTATGTTTGCAGCTATTGAACCAAGGGGACAAAAAGGTTCCAGACTGCAAACCAAACCGACCATGACACACACCCCGAATAAAGTTGCACTGAGAGTGCACATCAATTACGATTGTACAAACCAGGTAGCGCGTATTTCTGTGACAGGCCAGCCTTTGCTGAGACACCCCCAGAGAGAGGAACCCAGTCTCAAATGTCTCCTGGTTATGCAAAAGATGGTGGCTTCTCAGAATTACCGTTACCTACCATTGGTATGGTGGCCCGTAACAAGCCTCATATTGCGGCAGGAACCATTACAGCAGTGTGATGCGCATGCCTAGTGCTGCTTATCGACAAGGCTGAAGGGCCTCGATGTTAGCTAGTAACTGCAGCTTCTCAGCAAACTCCATCACAAGTTCACAACACAGGGCATGATGTTGCTCCATTATTCTCACGAGGCATTGCCTAGTAACCATTATGCCGCTACTCTTCCTTATGGTTCGGGCTGAGGGGCCGAGGCATTGCCTAGTAACCGTATCTGGTCAGCAATGGTGGTGTCCCGCACAAACCACACGTGGTCCTCCCCGGGCGGCACGAGGGTTTGGCAGCGCACGTTGACTGGGTTGACCACGCCAGACAAATGGAAGTGGCGCAGCTCCGTTGCTGCGTTCAGCACCACGCCACCCTTCTGTGGCTCTCGGGCCTCGTGGATAGACACCACCTCGGTCTGGAAGGGAAATGGGGGTCACAAGCAAGGGAGTGACAAGCAAGGAGGTGACGGGTGATTAGTGGAATGCGTTGCCACCATGCTGGCCTTTGTGGCTCTCGGGCCTCGTCGATGGACATGACCTCCATATGGAAGGGGAGGGATTGCGGCAAGCCGTAGTGGGAAAAGGGAGTATGGGTAATTTGCACTAAAAGGGGAGCATGAGGGAATGACATATGGAGGAGATGACACGACAGATAGGGGAATGAGGTGATAGGGGGTAGGATGTTTGCTATGGAGCCGATTGTTGATGCGCCTGCAAAAAGACTTTTGAGTCGAGGTGACTTTTGAGTCGACTCAAAAGTCACCTTGATGCGGGTTGTAGGAGGCTCGGTATGGAGCTTAGTGTTGACCTACCTGCGAAAAGGCTAGCCGTGACTCGTGTAAACTCACTTGTGAGGGCGACTCACCACGAGGGGGCTCACAATCAGCTCCCGTGGCTCGGCCAGACCTCAGACACAGGTCCGGGTCTGCCTCTTGTTTCGTCCCTGAGAGGAGGCACCTTAAAAAATGCGGTTTGAGAGTGAGAGAATGGGGCACCTAGGAGGGAGCAGCCTGAGAGGGCGTCTCACCTTGCGCGGGTTGAGAATGAGTTTCCGATGGCCCCGCCAGTCCTCACACAGGTCTGACTCGATCCGCTGCTGCACCCCTGAGAGGAGGCACTTTAAACGATACGCATACACCTGAGAGTGAGAGTGAGGCGCCCGAGAGGGGGAATCCTGAGAGGGGTTCTCACCTTGCGGGGGTTGAGAATGAGTTTCCGATGGCCCCGCCAGTTCCCACACAGGTCTGACTCGATCCGCTGCTCCTCCGCGCCGTCGCGCACACACCACACGTCAGGCCGTCGGAACACCAGTCTAGACAGCAGCTCAACGGCACGCCTCTTCGCCTCCTCCACTGCAGCTTCGTCCCACTGCATCTCACCATCCTGCGTGCCGTGCCCTGCTGTGCCCGGTGCTGGTTCCAGGCTCCTGTTACTCGTCTTTTGAGGCGCCTCAAAAAGTGCTGGTTCCAGGCTCCTGTTACTCGTCTTTTGAGGCGCCTCAAAAAGTGCTGGTTCCAGGCTCCTGTTACTCGTCTCAGAAGCCCCACCAGCCGCCGCAGCAAGACCACCAGCAGTCTGCAGCACAGCAGTTCCAGGCACCACCTGCGCCTCCCCTTGGCACACAGAGGGTTCGACCACGAGTGCCCCGTGGGAGAGCCAGGGGGCGTGGGCGTGCGCGGCGAGCAGTGCGTGCAGGGAATGCGGCGGCACGGGCGAGAGGTACTCGTCTGTGTCGTGGAGAGTGACCCAGCGGGATGTGAAGAGCGACCGGTGTATGCAGTCGTTGCCTGCAAGGGTCTGGTGGGAGGGGATGGGGTGGGGGGGAAGAGGTGTTGAATGCGGTACTGAGATCGCCCCGTGCTTGTGTGGGCACGGGCGAGAGGTACTCGTCTGTGTCGTGTAGGGTGACCCAGCGGGATGTGAAGAGCGACCGGTATATGCAGTCGTTGCCTGCAAGGGTCTGGTGGTAGGAGGGGGTGTGGAAGAGGGTTGTTGAAGCACTTAGTCCCCTTGTACCTGCCTCCACTACATATATGGATTCATATACACCCCTAAAGGTGAATATTATTGAAAAACGAGCTCAAAACACCCCCCACCGACCTGGTGTTTGGTGATAAAGCTCAGTGCCCCCTCCCCCGCGTGAAACCCGAACCGCCGCCCTCCCGACATGTCCGTAACGGCCGCCATGCCCGCAGCAAAGTACGGCGCGAAGAGCGCCGTGAGGCCCAGCGACCAGGCAGCCATGTCGTAGAATATGAAGCGGGAGACGTTGGCATAAACACGGTGATACTCCGCCCATGCCCACACCGGCCCCGCGTCCAACGTGCCGTAGAGCGGCTGGGAGCACCACGTGAGGTGCACGGGGAGAGAGGCCTCCGGAGGCGGCTCTAGAGGCTGTGCGGTTGGGGTTGGGGGAGGTGGGCGGAGACAAGCGGGAGGGGAATGGGGAGGGGAAGGGGAGGGGGAGGGTAAGGGGAAGGTGAAGGGGAGGGGAGTCAAAAAGTGTGGTGCTGGAAGCGAGTTTTTTAGAATCAAATAAAGGAGTGAATCCAATGCTCAATTGGATTAGTTTGCCCCATACCTGCTGTCCTCCACAACATTTCACCTTTCCCCGCATCCCACCTCCCCCGCATCCCACCTGTCCCGCATCCCACCTGCCCCAAATCTCACCTCTCCCGGACCCTCATTGAAGACGGCAGCCTCCACACCGTCCATGGTCATCACCAGATAGCCGTTCGCCCGAGAGGAGTTGCCTACTAGCTGCCAGAAAAACTTTACCTCCCCTGCATCTCACCTGCCCCGGCTGCTCGTTAAAGACAGCAGCCTCCACACCGTCCATGGTCATCACCAGATAGCCGCCTGCCCGGGACGTGTTGCCCCACAGCTGGCAGAACGCTGCTAGCGAGTCAGTCTGTGAGGGGGATGGAAGAAACGGGAAGTAGAGGAAAAAAAGCGAGTCTGAGCTTGAATAGATTCGTTATTGGGTCGGTCTGTAGGGGGGACGAGGGTGAGGAGGTGGAGAGGAAAAGGGGAAAGGGCTGGATAGAATATTCGTGACCAAGCGAGCCAATTCGAAACTTGAAGCACCTTAGTTTTGGGGCGCATGAAGTCTCTGTACCACACTGAACCGTTCACTCTGCTGCCGTCTCGCCCCACCCATCGGCAGCCCTCCCCCTCCGACACCCACAAGAAATTGAGGCTGCTTATACCGAGTACGACGAAGCGAGAGGGGCTGATGCGGTAGGCGCTGGAGGGATGGAGAAATGGTGGTTGGGGGGCAGGGAGGAGAGGAATGGGCCGGGTAGGGGAGGGGGAACTAGTGAGTGAGTGAGGAAGGGGAGGAGAATAAGAGGAGGATAAGGCAGGAGAGTGAGACCGTGAACCACCACAACATACGACATTCTCAGTCAAGTGAAAGCTCATACAAGAAAATGCACAAGCAAAACATCACAGTCGTAACTGATTCTACAGGGCTCAAGCCGGGCGTAACGCCTGGCCCTCCCTGCGAGATTACGGCGGTTTCACGAAGGTTCTCGGGTTCGTCCAGATGGACTGGAAGCCCCCCTGCCACCTCAGCCTCACTGCCTCAGTTGACTAGGGCCACTGGTATGGCAGCCGCACCTGAACTCGTAGAGGAATCCTCGCTGCTGGTAGGTTCGTTGCCTCCACTGCCGCGCTTCCGTCTCAAGCACACTCGCTACAGCCACGTCCGACCGGTTTCGCCTGCGCGTCGCTTCCAGGGCCTCCGTGTAGCGCTGCGGATCGCAAGGGCACGCACACACACGGGCACGGACAGACGCACGAGCAGGCAGGTTCAGAGGCACCCGCACACAGACGTACGCAGAGGGGGGAGGAGAAAGCATGGGAGTGGATAAGGTTTTTAGACTTCTCAAGAAGCGCTCTCACAATGGAGGGGCGGGGCGGGCCATTCCACCGACCGTTCTCTACCGCTGTCACCTCCGTCCAGTCACACCGCATACCGCACTATCCGCCACACCGCATTACCCGCCAGCCGCATTATCTGCCACACCGCATTACCCACACCGCACTATCCGCTACACCGCATTATCCGACAGCGCGTCATCACTCACCGATAGTTCCGCCGGAGTCCGCACGTCACCCGGCGCTTCATTCTGCTGTTCCTCCTCGCCGCGCTTCTCTCCGCCAACTCCGTCATCTCTATCGCGCGTCTCTCCGCCATCTCCGCCGTTCCCGCCTCCTGTCTTATGCGCTACTGCCACGGCTTCAAGTGCGGAACATGGGACATTGCCGACGCCGGCGGTGCTGTTTGGAGCGGCTTGGCGCGCAGCGACAGAGGAGGGCGAGGAGGAGGAGAGGACGGAGGAGCGGAACCGGAGGAGCGGGGAGGAGCGGGAGAGGAGTAGAGGGGAGAGGAAAGGAGTCAATGCGTCTTGGACTAGGGCCTGTTGACAAGAGACGGACAGGAAGAAGAGGGAAAGGCGTGGTTATTTGAGTCAAGTAAAAATCATTTTGGGTTCTAAAGCAGCCTCGAAGCGTACTATACCAGGCCCGAGAGATGATTATTGCGTCGTCCCAAGAATCGTCCTATTACAAAATATTCAGAGTCTCAGATTAGTGACTTCTAAAAAATCAGTCCTAAGAGTTCCTCAAAATGTGGCGACAGTCATCACGATGCAGCGCTGATGCGCCGAACCAGCACTCTAGCCAAGGGTGGAGGAGGAAAGTGCAAAAAAACCTCTGGCTCCCAAATGTGGCCTCCTGCCCTTTCCCCACTGCGCGGAAACAGTCGCTCGATGGGAGGCACTGACGTGCGCTTGAGTGCCTCTCGTCGCGATCGAGCAGTGCATCGGCTGGCTATATGCGGCGGGCCGTTTCAGAACTCGATGGCGATCACTATGTAGTTTTAATGTAGCCTATTCGTGGCTTGTATCGGTCCATTGCTCTACTCGGCATGACGTACCCCACACACTAGCAGCGTCATCAGCGCGCCGAGCGTCGCGGCCGCGTGTATGCCCCACCCGTGCTGTGAGCTCTTAAAAGGTGGACACGTCATCATCCTTCGATCCCAGTTCTGGGTTTATGACTTCAGAAGAGGAGCTGTGACTTCTTAGGAATACTACCTAGTAGCGGCTTGAGTGTGAGCTAGTAGCGGCTCGAGTATGAATAACGAGCGTGTCTCAAAGTCTTTCCGTCACAAACTAGTTGTTAAGGCAAAGGGTTAAACACTCCGTCAGCTGCTTACTGGAGAGGTTCTGAAACCACTTGTTCCATCCCCTCTGTCTTACAAGAGGGGATCCTAGACAATGGAACAGTAGGTGCACGAGGGGGCGAAGTGTCTAGGGTCAGACTACTCGTGAGCCGGCAGCACCGAATACCTGCTAGCAGCGCAACGTAGCCGTGCGTGCTTGACATGATCGTACAACGCTGCAAGGTGCGCTTATCGGACTGGTGCCCGTCTTCGCAGTAGATCGTGATTCGTTGTGACGTGGCTTGTGTGAAGCAGGCGGTTTGAAAACGACCAAGAGTCGATCGAACAATAACCCAGCATTCCTGTCGTGTGGAATCACACCCCACACCACAGAGCATTCGCTTCGCAACAAATTCCGCCACTTCAGAAAGGCGAGGGGTGGGAGAGCTAGCTGGCTGGGAGCATTGTGGAGTGACAATTTGGTGCGTGTCGAGTCGCGGTGTTTTTATAGGATCGAAGCGCGTGTTCAAGAATCGTACGTGGGGCTGGATGGTTGCTGCTGATTTGTCATTGGCGCACCAATGGGGAACGACAGCACCACGATGTCGCACGCTCGTTTGGAGCTTGTCGCATGCTCGGTATCACGGAAATATCTCTTTGTACCAAATAACAGAAGCTAATAGAAGCATAGCACCAGTCTACTATCGTGCAAGTGTTCATCTCATGGCTACAAATGGCTTCACAAAAATGAGGAACACCGTAACTTGCAGAACAAGCAGGCCCAGCTTTTATATTGCAGTGGACACATGAGATTTATAGCAGCAGTCTTGCAACTAGGCTAATGAATTGTTCTTCAAGCAAGAGAGATGCGCTTGTCATGAATCGTCAAAGGCTGCGGCTAGTAAGTCATAGTTGAGGCTGACGGGGGTGGGTAGACCACCACTAGTAGCCGTAGCTTGTCTGCCACTGTAGTGCCCCTCATTAAGAGTACAGTATCCATAGAGTGGTGTAACGTTCCTTAGAGTACAGGGAGAGGGGCTGAGACATTCGCTAGTAGTCGTAGCTTGTCAGCAACAGCGGTGCCCCTCACAAACCACACGAGAGTAGAAACTCCCTAGAGTGGTACGATGCTTCCCCTGCTTCTCAGGGTTCAGGTTGAGGGGCAGAAGAGTTGACTAGAAGCCATAGCTTGTCAGCAACAGTGGTGTCCCGCACAAACCACACGTGGGACTCGCCGGGCGGCACTAAAGTTTGGCAGTGCGCGTTGACCGGGTTGACCACTCCAGACAAATGGAAATGCCGCAGCTCCGTTGCTGCGTTCAACACTACTCCGCCCTTCTGTGGCTCCCGTGCGATGTGGATAGACATAACCTCGGTCTGAAGGGGAATGGGGGTGACAGGCAAGGGGGTGACAAGCAGGGGGTTGACAGGCAAGGGGTGGATGGGTGACTGGCGGGGATGCACTTAGCACCACCCAGCACCACTCAGCGCCACGCAGCACCTGCTAGGAGGGTGAGAGGCCGTCTCACCTTGCGCGGGTTGACAATCAGTTTCCGGTGGCCCCGTCAGTCCTCACACAGCTCTGACTCCATCCGCTGCCCCAAATCCGGGACGAGGCTTCTCAGAAGAAGCACCAGAGAGTGAAGGAATGAGGCACCTAGGAGGGAAGAGCCTGTGAGCGCGTCTCACCTTGCGCGGGTTGACAATCAGTTTCCGGTGGCCGCGCCAGTCCTCACACAGGTCTGAGTCGATCCACTGCCCCTCGGCCCTGTCGCGCATGCACCACACGTCTGGGTGCCGGAACACCATTCGCGATAGCAGCTGCACGGCACGTCTCTTCGCCTCCGTCCCTGCAGCTTCATCCCACTGCGTCTCACCACCCTCCGTGCCATTCCCTGCTGCTCCCAGTGCTGTCTCCTCATGCCTACTTCTGGCGTTCACTGCCGCTCCAGCCCCCCGGGTATCACCACCACCACCACCACCAGCAGCCTCCACTGCAGCAGACCCACCACCCACACCACCATCAGAGTCAGCAGGCTCCACCGTAGCAGCCTCAGCAGGTGCGGGTGCGTCCTCCCCCCCTTCCCCTTGGCACACAGAGGGCTCGACGGCGAAAGCGCCGTGGGAGAGCCAGGGGGCGTGGGCGTGTGCGGCGAGCAGCGAGGGCAGGGAGTGCGGCGGGACGGGCGCGAGGTACTCGTCTGTGTCGTGCAGAGTGACCCAGCGCGAGGTGAAGAGTGACCGGTATATGCAGTCGTTGCTGGCTAGGGTCTGGTGGGAAGGAGGGGGTGTATAAGGGAAGAAGAGGTGTGTGTGGAATTAGGTGCTGGACTAGGCGTGCACATGTCTCAGCACTTTGAGAGGAACTCGTCTGTGTCGTGGAGAGTCACCCAGAGCGAGGTGAAGAGCGAGCGGAATATGCAATCGTTGCTTGCTAGGGCCTGGTGGGAGGGAGGGGGGAGTGAAGAAGAGGTGCTGAATGCGGTACTCGATTCGCGGAATGAGGTACTGAGATCGCCCTGTGCCTTTGACAGCACGGGCAAGATGAATTCGTTGGTGTTGCGCAGTTTTTCTTGAGGCGCCTCAAGCAGTGTGCCCCATCAATGAAGCACTTGTTGCTGTCGAGCAGTGTGCCTCATCGAGAGGTGAAGAGTAACCAGAACATGCAGTCGCTGCCTGCTAGCGTGTGGTGGGAGACGTAATATATGCAAGGATTTAATCAATGTACGCATGTATGGAAATGTATTCATGGAAATGTGTACGTGTGTATGTATGCAGTTACATAAAGGAGTATATGCTTGAAACGAAGCTCAAAACACCACCCCCCACCGACCTAGTGTTTGATAATAAAGCTCAGTGCCCCCTCCCCCGCATGAAACCCGAACCGCCGCCATCCGGACACATCTGTAACAGCAGCCATGCCGGCAGCAAAGTGCGGCGTGAAGGGCGCCGTGAGGGTGTGTGTTGATGGACTCAAAACACATTTGGTGCTTGGTGTGCAGCTCACCTGGTGCTTGGTGTGCAGCTCACCTGGTGCTTGGTGTGCAGCTCACCTGGTGCTTGGTGTGCAGCTCACCTGGTGCTTGGTGTGCAGCTCACCTGGTGCTTGGTGTGCAGCTCACCTGGTGCTTGGTGTGCAGCTCACCTGGTGCTTGGTGTGCAGCTCACCTGGTGCTTGGTGTGCAGCTCACCTGGTGCTTGGTGTGCAGCTCACCTGGTGCTTGGTGTGCAGCTCACCTGGTGCTTGGTTGTAAAGTAGAGCAACTCCACTCCCGCAACAAACCCGAACCGCCGCCCTCCCGACATGTCCGTAACAGCAGCAACACCCGCAGCAAAGTACGGCGTGAAGAGCGCCGTGAGGGCGGGAGTCCACGCCGCCATGTCGTAGAATATGAAGCGGGAGACGTTGGCATGTATCCGGTGGTACTCCGCCCATGCCCACACCATGCCCGCGTCTAGCGTGCCGTAGAGCGGCTGTGAGCACCACGTGAGGTGGACTGGGAGGGAGGCCTCTGGTGGTGGTTCCAGAGGCTGCAGTTGGGGAGATGGAGGGGGAGGGGGAGGGGGAGGGGAGAGGGATGGGGATTGGGAGAGGAATCGGGAGACGTTGGCGTGCATGCGGCGGTAGTCCGCCGGTGCCCACACTGCCCCGGCGACTAACGTGCCGTAGAGTGCGGCTGGCAGCACCAGGCTAGGTGCAAACCTGCTGTCCTCCAAAACATTATAGCTTCCTCCCCCTCATCCCACCTGCCCCGCATCCCACCTGTCCCGGGCGTTCGTTGAAGACGGCAGCTTCCACGCCATCCATGGTCATCACCAGGTAGCCGCCTGCCCGGGACGTGTTGCCCCACAGCTGGCAGAACGCCGCTAGCGAGTCAGTCTGTAAGGGGATGAGGGAAGGGGGTGTAGCGGAACGTGGTGTAGCGAAAAGGGGAGAGAGAGTCTAAGGGTGAATTTTTCTGGGTATTGAGCTGCTCTTTAGGGCGGACGGAGGTGTGGAGGTGAACAGAGGGAGGGAAAGGGCTGGATAGAAGATTCGTGACTAGGCGAGTCAGTTTGAAACGAGGATGAGGGGAAAGGTGCGAGAGTGGTGTGAGATGAAGCACCTGAGTTTTGGGACCCATGAAGTCTCTGTACCACACTGAACCGTTCACTCTGCTGCCGTCTCGCCCCACCCATCTGCAGCCCTCCCCGTCCGTCACCCACGTGAAATTGAGGCCGCTTATAGCGAGTACGACGAAGCGAGAGGGGCTGACGCGGTAGGCGCTGTGGGGATGGAGAAATGAGATGAGAGAGGAGTAATAGGTTGGGATGGAGGAGGGGAATGTGTCGGGTAGAGCAGAGGGAATGAGTGAGGGAGGAGGGTAAGATAAAGACATAGGCAGGTGAGTCTGGTTATGTCCCTCGGCATACGACATACGGCCACAGATTGGTAGCAGCACCTGAATTCGTAGAGGAATCCTCGCTGCTGGTAGGTTCGTTGCCTCCACTGCCGCGCTTCCGTCTCAAGCGCCCTCGCCACAGCCACGTCTGACTGGTTCCGCCTGCGCCTCGCTTCCAGTGCCTCCGTGTAGCGCTGCCGGCAACAAGGGCACGCACGCACACATACGCACACACACATACGCACACAGACATACGCACACACACATACGCACACAGACAAACGCACACAGACATACGCACACAGACATACGCACACAGACATACGCACACAGACATACGCACACAGACATACGCACACAGACATACGCACACAGACGCACGCACAGTCAGGTACAGACAGAGGCACGCACGCAGAGAGCAACAAGAAGCGTGGGAGTGAAGGGATATTAGGGAATTCTCAAAGTACTCTCAAAATGCGCTTTGAAAGAGAAGCGCGGAGGGGCGGGCCGCTCCAGCGGTAGTCCGCAAGCACTGTCACCCCCATCCAGTCACACCGCATACCGCAACGCCCGCCACCCGGCACTATCCGCCAAACTGCATTATCCGCCACGCCGATAGTTGCGCCATCGCGCCATCACTCACCGATAATTGCGCCAGATTCTGCACGTCACGCGCTTCGTTCCACTGTTCCTCCTCGCCGCTCTTCCAACCGCCTTCTCCGCCGCTCGTCTCTCCGCCATCTCCGCCGCTCCCGCTTCCCGCATCGTGCGCTACAGCTACGGCGTCAAGTGCGGGGCAAGGGGCATTTCCGGTGCCGGCGGTGCTGTTTGAAGCGGCTTGGCGGGCAGCGGCGGAGGATGGAGAGGTGGAGGAGGAGAGGACGGAGGAGCGGAACCGGAGGAGCGGGGAGGGGTGGGAGAGGAGGAGCGGAGAGAAGAAAGGCGTCAATGCGTCCTGGACCATGGCCTGACTGACGAGAGACGGACGGGAAAAATGGGGGAAGGCGTGGTTCTTGAGTCCACTGTTAATCATTCTGGTTCTCAGACAGCGTCGATGCGCCGAACTGGCGTGGCTGCACTTATAGCCTAGAGAGGAAGAGGAAAGCGCAAACATTTCCCTCGTCCCCACTGAGTGGAGGCGCGCGCTCGATGGGGGCGCTGATCGCCTCTCGTCACAGTGGAGCAACGCATCGCCTGCCTGGCTATGCGGCACTGTCCCGGAAAAAAAGTCGGGCTAGCGGGGCGCCCGCGGGCTAGCGGGGCACCGCGGGCTAGCGGGGCGTATATAGAAATCGGTCTCAATCATGTTGTAGCCTTAGTGGCTTGTTCCTGGATCTATCCATTGCTCTGAGTGACGCTTCGGCACGTACCCCGCACACTAGCAGCGTTAGCAGCGCGCCGAGCGTCGCGGTCGCGTGTACAGCCCACCTGCGCCGCGAGAGCTTAAATGGTGGACACGTCATCATCCTTCGATCCCAGGCCTGGGCTTTATGAATTCAGCAGAGGGAATGTGAGTGCTAGTACACACTAGTTAGTAGCGGCTCGAGTGTGAGTTAGTAACGGCTCGGGTATGAATAAATGGCGAGTCTCTATGCCTTGCCGTTACTAAGTTGATCAAAGGATGAATCACTCAGTCAGCTGTTTACTGGAGGCACTGAAGCCGTGTGTTCCTCCAGCCCCTCTGTCCTATAGACGCGGATAGATGACCATAGCACTACTGCGAATGGATCAGCAGGTGCACGAGGAGACGAACTTATCAAGGCCAGACCATACGCGAGCCGGCAGCACCGAATACCAGCCAGCAGCGGAACTTGGCCGTGCGCGCCTGACATGGTCGTACAGCGCGGCAAGATGCGCTTATCGGGATGGTTAGTCCTCGCGGTCGCGGAAGATCGTGAGTCGTCGTGACGTGGCTTATGTGAGGCAGGCGGCTTGAAAACCACCAATAGTCGAGCATAAGGGGATGTCCAGCTCGTTCATTTACTGTTCGTAAAGCCCTTCAGTTACCAGATTTTGCGTTGTAACACTGAATTTCACAAAAATGCCAGACACGATCAGCTCCCGTTCACGATACGGCACACCCCCTGCACGTACCTCGAATCGTGTGACGCACGTTACAGAAATCAACGTGCGCATCGAACAATGGTACAGAACCGCGTCCTGCCCACTACAGTGAGTGCCCATCGTATCGCGCGCTCGATTTCGCCAGTGCAGCCTGACACTCGCCAAAACCAGTAGTGGAAGTGTTGGCTTGGCGAAAATTCCAATGCTTTGGTTGACGAGGATACCGGTTACCTCGTTTCAATAGGCCACTGCACTGTTGAAGTCTGTGTGGGGGGAATGTGTCCGCGCGCTAGAATTGACAAAAAGGGTGGACTCGACGCAGGTCGTATTCGTTTATAGGTACAGTGATCAGTTTTGAACCCCGGATCGTGAGGAGGAAAATAATTTCCCGAAATGAACGAGCTGGACACGCCCTAACACAATCTCGACGAAGGGGGGGAACCACCACCTCACCACATCACACGGCATTCGCAATCGCAGGCAGACGGCATATATTCTCACTCCAGGAAGCTGGGGGGAGGGGGTGGGGGAAAGCTGGCTGGGGGGGGATTGTAGAGTGACCATTTCGCGGGTGTCGCGTCGCGGTGTATTTCTCGATGATCGAAGCGCGTGAATCGAAGAATCGCGCCTGAGTGATTTTGGCGGGGTGTGGTTGCTGTTGATCTGTCATTGGTGCGTACGGATGGGTGGTTGCTGACATTGTCGCACGACGACGCACAAACCTTCAGAGTTTTGTCGCATACTCGGAATCGTGTACGGAACTACTATCGTGGTGGTGAGGCTGACTCCACAAATATAGCAGACAACTGTAGATTGCAAAACACATGCTCAGATTTTACTATTTTCAGCATTTATATAACAGCAGTCAAGCAACTACAGCAATAGGCTAATGAAACGTTTTTTCAAGCAAGGGAGATACGCTTGTCATGGATTGGCAGAGGCTGCGGCATCTGGGCCTCGTGCGGGTGCGACTCTCCCTTGTACACCTTGAGGTGTGTGAATAGGCGGCGACCCAACTGGTGTGGAAGGGGCACAAAGCCAAAAGAAAACGATTTATCTATGCTCAGCAGTAAGGAAAGAGACGAACGTTACATTGAACACATTAAAAACCAGGTTTCATACAATCTTTAGTGAAACATACCATCTCATGCTCCATCTTTTGTATACCCCTCGCTGCAATTTCACAAAGTACCAATCACTCATCCTATGCTCCCTTATCCAGCGCATCCAAAATCATTCCCAGTGTCCACCTCTCACCAACGAATAAATATTCCCTTCCCGTGAAAAGCATGCCCAACAGCATGCCCCACACAACATGTTCCACACCCCCCAGCATGCATACACAGCATGTCCCACACAAAACGCTCCGGATGTTTTTCAAAATTGTAGCTCAAGCTGCGTTTCATCATGCCCCACCTCGCTGGCCCCACTACCCTCAAACCCGTACCCTGGTACCCACCTGCCTGGGCTGCATGCCCCCCACGTCGACCTCCACTGATTTCTCCACTGATGCGGCTTTCTGCCGCTGTCACAATGCCGACCAGCCAAACCACCAAGCCCAGCACCAAGCCCACGCCCAGGCCCCAGTCTCCAGGCAAGCAGCGCACCCGACCCTTGGGCAGTGCCCCGAACGGCATGCTCCACGATCCCGTCCAGGATGTGCCTCTATAATCGATCATAGTGTCCCAGGCCCGATCCCATTCCCGAGCCCAAAGCCCAGCCCCAGTCTCTCCCACAAGCCACCAAGTCCCCAAGTCCCCAAGCCCACTCACCCGGCCCTTGGGCAGCATGCCCCGCACGGCGTGCTCGACGATGCGCTCGGGGATGCGCGCCTGCACCTGGTCGAACGTCTCCTCCGTCATCCCACCCGGCCGCCCCGAGTGCCGCCGGTAAATCTTCTGCGCGCGCTTCTTGCCCGTCACCGCCACCTTCTCCGCGTTCACCTGCCAGTGGTGGTGGGGGATGGGGGGGGAGGAGGGGGGAAGGAAGTGGGGAGGAGGGGGGGCGGAGGGCGAGAGGAATGGGAGAGGAGTGGGGGAGGTGAAAAGGGCGGAACGAAGGAAGTTGAGCTCTACGTGCAGTGGGTACATCTTTCTGCGTGCGCTTCTTCCCCGGCAGCGTTCCCATTTCCACGTTCACATGACAGTCGAACAGGCGGGAATAAGGGCGAAAAAAGGCGTTGCGAAGGTGCCTTGTAACCCTAACACACGACACAGCCGTCGCTCCCACGCACTCACCACGATGACATAAGCACCCATGTCGACGGACGGCGTGTACGTGGGCTGGTCCTTGCCGCGGATGTGGTTCGCGATGGTGGACGCGAGGCGGCCCAGGCGCTTGTCGGCGGCGTCCACGATGTACCACTGCTTCTCCACGTTCAGATGGTCCGCCTCCTTCGGGTAGTACGTGCTGTTCCACTCGTCCTGCAGATGAGGAAAAAGGCGGTGGTATCCAAGGATGGGGGGTGAGAACGAAAGACCGTTGCTTCTCCACGTTCAGGCGGTCCGCCTTCTTAGGGTAGCACGTGCGGTTCCACTCGTCCTGCCCGTATCAGGGGCGCGAGGAAGGTATCGGCAGTTACGTGGAAGGTGAAAATGAGGGGAAGCGAACAAATGTATCTCACTGACACCTGCGCTGCTTCTTTGAGGCAGTGCGATTGCAATCGCCTTGCACGATTGCGGAAGTGGGAGGAAGGAAACGAGGAAAAATATAATGTACGGGGAGGCAGTGCCTTCCGAGAGGCCGGAAATGTGCGGACGGAGAGGCCGGAGAGCAGCTGAGGTGGGAGAAGTGGGAAAGGTGGGAGAGTCAGTCAGGCGAAAAAGGAGCAAAGGCACTCTCTCCGTCTGTGTGCTGCTAGAGCGGCATCGGGCAGACGGGTGGCATGACCGCAAGAAACTGATCAATAGAACCTGTCGTAGACGCCAAAACCCTGCTACTAGGTTAATGTAGCTGCTGGCGGCAATCGGCGCGAGCATGGTTACGACAGCGTTGCACTCACACGATTCAGAGCAGCAACGCTCGGAAAGGCTTATGCCTGACGATGCTAATGGGAAAACCACTAAACGTTAACCGGAGCAACGTGGTGAATTGCCCTCGGTGCCTGAGCCGTCATTCCGATCAGATAAGCTGATCCACTACATTATATTAGCGACGCGCTGGTAAAGTTACCTTAGAAGAAGAAGAAGATTCTCAGAAACATAATCATTTTATGGTAACAAGGACCTGGCCTGGATAAACCTTTTTCAGCCTCTCTGATACGCTATCACGATCCTTACAGCCGTACCGGTCCCTTGTTCTCAATGCCCTCGTACATCCACCGGTGCTCCGCGGGAATGAACCCGCCCTTTCCAGCGCATCTCACGGCGAGCCGGCCATTCTCGCTGGACTGTGGCTTGGCAGCAGCAAGGCTAACCGCCTTGAGCTGTGAGCAGCAGCCGGTCAACGCGCTGCTGGAAAACGACAATCTCGAGGCGCTCTGCGCGGAGAGAGACGCGGTCGCCATGGCCGAGCGACTAAGGGGAATGGAAGCCTCTAGGATCGTTAGAGAGAAACCCGGAGGGAAGGGAATGGAATGGGAGGTATGGTGGAGGTGAGGTGGTGGTGAGGGGAGAAGGGAAAGTTACAGCAATGGCTACGGTGGTGTGTGGTGAGTTTGTACTGTACTGTACTGTCTCTGACGAGTCTTGTGAATGGACAGGGAGATTTGAGGGGAATTCGCCTTTGGAATTGTTCGACTGGTGATGTGCGGCTTTTGATGAGGTAAGTGCTGACGTGGAAGTGCAGAAATGAGGATAGAGCAACGAACGGCTGCGATTTGGAGGCGTGGCTGGTCTGCTTGATTTGGGTCTCATGTCCAATACAATTACCGTGGTTGAAAAGTGACCTGGCCTCTGAACCTGAAAACACGGGCTATACAGCAAAATGTATGTGAGTGATGTTCTGTGTTATTATCGGAGCACTGAAAACGGGAAAGCACCGTGATGGATTCGTGGAGAAATATTCGCCCCTCTCCCGCTCCCTGCCGCCTACCTGGGTTCGTGCCTGCCTTCCACTCTGGCGTGCAACAACCCCACAAAAGAATCTCCTGCTTGACTTCTCGAATCTCCACCATGTAACCTGTGCCGTATCCCCCTTGTAAGCTCACTTCCATATATTTATTGCAGCCACGTCGCTGTCCGTAATAAGTTCATTCCTCGTCGAAAATGGCGAGTCGCGGCGGCAGCAAGCCCGGCAGGGAGAGCAAGGGCGAGAAGGGCAACAAGGACCTCGCCGTGACCGCCGCCGCGATTGACGCGGCGATGGAGACGCCGCTTTTGGCGGAGGAGGAGGAGGACGAGCTGGAGATGGCGAAGGCGTGGAAGGCGGTGGAGGCGGTGCGCGTCAGCGCGGATCTGCCGGCGGCGGCAAAGCAGCTCATCACGCTACTGCGCCGCGTCGACCAGAACGGCCGGTTGTACGCCGGGCCGGCCATTAAGGACGCGATTAGGAGGTGCGCCTCGGATCGCGCGTAGAATGCGGCGTCGAGAACGGATGTGGGTTACGGTGTCTAGGTGTGAAGGGAGTGTTCGACGCGCGGGGATGCGACCCGCAGGAGTGCGACCGTAGGATCGCGAGGTGTTCGCGCGATGCCCTCTTTCGTGTTTGCACGATTCGACCTCCGCGCTCGAACGAACCGCATCTAGGTTGTGTCCCGTGGTCGGCATCGTTCGTCTGCCAACGCACGTTTTCTCGTCTGTCTCCTTCCAACCAATTTCCGCGTCGCTTTTTCCTACTCATCTCCCTCCTTTCCTGCCCGCGTATCTCCCTCCTTTTTCCTACTTACCTATTCGCCATTGCTCCCCCTCATCTCCTCCTCCTCCCCCGTCCCTCACCTTCTCTCGCTCCCTCCCAGGTACGAGCAGTGTTGGCTGCGGATGGCATACGGGCAGACAGACGAGGTCATGCGCACGCTACAGCCGCCGCTGGACGTGCAGTGGGTGTGGCTCGTTCACCGCCTCAACCCGGTGCGTGCCCCTTGCTCCCCGCTCGCCCCGCGCCCCTTCCCCCTTAGCTCCGCCATTCCCCTTGTTCCGCTCTCTCCCCTCTGACGTGCCGCCCGCTGAAAATAACTTAGTTTGCCCAGCCCCTCTCCGCACAGTCTCCGTTCGCCTTCCTTCCACCCCTCCTGCCCTTCTATTCCAGGAGGCGTATGCAGAGGACTGCAGCACCATTCTCGGGCGGCTGTTAGACGGGGCGATATTCGATCCGGATGATGACGACGTGGGCAGTGAGAGCGCGCGCGGGGAGGCAGCAGCCACGGCGGCGTGCAGGGCGCTCTGGGAGGATCTCTTCCCCTTAGAGCCCTATGACCCCCCCGCTCTTGCTGCTCCTGCTGCTGCCGCTCCTGCTGCTGGGGATGATGATGTTGCAGCTGCGGCTGGTGCTGGGGAGGAGAGGGACGAGGGGAGTGGTGCAGCGGAAGGAGACGGTGCAGCAGCTACAGCTGATGCTGCTGCTGCTGCTGCTGCTGGTGATGGTGGGGGTGATGGGGCGGAGAGGCAGGGTAATGGAGCAGCAGCAGCGCCAGATGCAGCAGCAGCGCCAGATGCCGCAGCAGCGGCAGTGGTGCCACCAGCTCTGCCCCCCTCCCTCCCTTCGGAGCTAACTTATGACCTCGAGGCCGCAGTAGCGCGCCAGAGCAGCTTCTTTTACCAGGTAAGCGCACGGGGGTGGTAATGAGGGTGGTCCAGCCCAGCCCTGTGGGCCCCCATCCCCTTCCCGATCCCCCCCACCAGGTGGATCGGCCGTGGATGCTAGAGCGGCAGTACGCACAGGGGTCGCTGCAGCGGTAATCAGTGACCTGTTCATGTCCCCCCCACCCTCTCTGCTGCACCTGCCCATATCGCCCCCCTCCTCCTCCTCCTCCTCCTCCTCCTCTCCCAACCCCAACCTGCCAGGTGGAGCGGCCGTGGATGCTAGAGCGGCAGTACCTGCAGGGGTCACTGCAGCGCTACCGCATGTTCCTCAACCTTGTTATGCTCAACCGCGGGGCGTTCCTCACTCCCACCTATGACATCGACCTGCTCTGGCACGCTCACATGGTAATGCCATGACGCATGCATGCAGTCTTGGTGGTGGTGGTGGTGGTGTGATGCATGCATGATCAACTCACTGAGAGGCGTTCCTCACTCCCACCTATGACATCGACCTGCTCTGGCATGCACACATGGTAATAATAGCTGCTCTAGCACGCTGTGCTATACATGCACACATCGAAATGGCATGATGCATGCATGCATGCATGCACTTCTGGTAGAACGTGGTGCACACACGTGTGGCTTGAATGTAACAGGTCGATTTGTGATTCATTGTCCTCGTCTTCTAACCCCCATGCCTACACACGCACCATCAGATGTGTGCAGCAGCATACACCAAGGACAGCGACTGGCTGTTAAGCCGTCTCCTAGGCCATGATGATTCCGACGCCATGCCAGTGGCAGCAGCGGCAGCAGCAGCCTCTTCTACCTCCAACACTATCGACAGCAACACACGCAAGCGCCTCGAGTGGGCCTACCGAGCCACCGCGCAGCTCTGGGACCGAACCTACGGCTCCCCTTTCGACCGCGCCGGAGCTATGTTCCGCGCCCGTGCCTATCCCGCCGCCGCCGCTCGTGGCGCCGAGACGGGTGTTGCCTCTGGAAGGAGGAGAGGGGGAGTTTACAGTCGCAGAGTTGAATGCTGGGAGGGGGTTGGAACCCCGGATGACTGTAGAGGTTGATTTCATGGTGTGGGGTTTGCTCAATTTCCATCCCGACAAGCCCGAGAATCTCTTTCTCATGATCCGGACGAAGCGCGCCGCCCACGATTTCTCGCTGCGCACGCGCTCGCTGCCCGCCCGCCCGGGCTGCCGCCCGCCAGCCTGGCGGCAGCGGTGGGCGCTGGAAGCTGAGGTGGCAACAGGAGGGTTGCAATTCGAGCTAAGAGCCGAATCAGGGACTTTCTGGGGCGGGTTATGGGGCCCAAGAATAGTGGGGAGTGGAGGTATTACCTGGGAGGAGGTGTTATCTCGCCCGGCTCTTCTGGTGGATAGACAGGTGGCGCTGGCCCCTGTTGATCTGCTCACTGCTGTGGGGATCAGGGGGGACGGGGACGATGCGGCAGGGGGGAATAAGGCAGCAGGAGCATCGGGGGGAGCGAATGGATCGGGCGGGGGGAGCGTTGGAGGAGGGGGGGGGAGCGGGGCGGGAGCGGGGGCGCTGGTGGTGAGTGGGGGAGGGGGGAAGGCGAGTGAGTTGCCGCGGGTGCATGTGGCGGTGTCCCTCACACCCCCCACACCGGCGCCTTACCTGCTGAGAACAGTGTTCATGCGCGGCACTGATGACAACGGTGCCATGATCTGTGAAGAAATAGCCGTGCAGAGAGACTTTCGACCGCAGGTGGGTGGGTGAAGGGTGAGTGGGACTGTCTTCCATCCGTCCCCACGTGGGTGCAGGAGAGGTGGGAGGGTGCATGTGGCCGTGTCTCTGACTCCCCCGATGCCGGCAACATACCTGCTGAGAACAGTGGTCATGCGCGGCACTGATGACAATGGTGCCATGATCTGTGAAGAGATTGCCGTGTTGAGGGACTTTCGGCCGCAGGTGGGTGGGGGGATGTGGGGTTGGAGCTTGGAGAGAGGTGGGTGGGTGTGAGGTGGGTGAGAAAACAGCAGAAGAGCGTGGGTTTAATGAGCCGTGGGGGTTATCACCAGTTTGCCTCATGGCACCACCACCAGTGTTCGCCGCATTATTTTTTATCGTCTTCCTACTCTCGTCTTCGTGGTTCGCTCACCTCCCTCCCCTCCAACCCACCCTTTCCTCCCCACCAGTACGGCCAGGGGGAGTCACGCACAGTATACAACCACGAGGACAAAGAGGTGTTTTCCCTTCCTCTTCCCCTTCCCACTCCGTCGCCCCTTACGGTCCCTCTTTCCTTGTTTCCTCCCCTTCATCCCGTCCCCCACCAGTACGGCCGGTGGGGGTCGCGCACGGTGTACAACCACGAGGACAAGGAGGTGTTTGTTATACGCAAGAGGTGGGTGCTCTCACCCACCCAGAGCAGCCATTTCAGCTCACATGTCCTCCTGACAGGTCAGGTCACCCTGTCAATCAGACCTCTCAAATCACGCCTGTTGGTCCGCTTGGCAGTGCGTCCGTCACTCGATGCACTCTCATTCGAATTTCGAATGCATGATCACTACCGCTTTGCGGTGTGTTTCGGTGTGCGCCTGTGCTCCTGTCCAGTTTCAACACCTTCCTCTCGAAACTGGAGTTGGAGGCGTCGCAACACATTCCTCTGTTGCTCTCATGGCTGGGCTGTGCGTGTCTGTGTGCATGGCAGGGTGGCCAAGGGCACATGGCATGCGCGCTATCGGCCTGTGCCTGTGGAACCAAAGGAGAAAGTCATTCTCTTGCACCAGGTGGGCGTTTTGTTGCTCCCAGGTGGGTCATTCTGTTGCACTCATGCGAAACTACCAATGCATTCTGCTCTTCTCGCTTCATAACTGCCCCACCCGCGTGCCCCTGTGCATCACTTTCCCACTCTTCCCCGCTCCTCCCGACTTCTCTCAATCCCTCATAGGGTGGGTGGCGCTACATCGAGACCGACCCTGTCCCTCTACCCGAGCCAGAGCCACCGCACCTGCGGGTGGGGGTGGTGCGGGGGCCGGTGGTGGCGCAGGCGGTGCCACAGGCGTCGGATGACTACGATCAGATCCAACGGTTCTGCTTGCTCGACTGCCTTCCCAACGGCCGCACTGCCACGGTCACCATCGAGCGTCGACGCGACGCCACGATTTTCATCCAGGGGATAAAGCTGACACTTGAGGAGGAAGGGACCAGCCGGGTGAGTGGAGTGGATACGTTTTTTACTCTTCAGGTGCACATGAATCAATCTGGTACCCCAAGGTAATCACTGGGCATCAAAGGGGAGGAGGCTAGTTTCTCACCTCACCCTGCTCATCAGAAGAAACCCTGCAGTTCCTTACCATATCCCAACAGGTGCTCCTGCTGCCAGGTCGTCACCACAAGTACAAGGTCCCAGGAGCCCCCTCAGTGGAAGACCTAGGTTCGCAACGCTCATCCGCTTTCCCGATTTTGTCCGTTCCCCCTTTTACTTCGTCCTCCATTCCAACAGGTCCTGCTGCTGCCAGGTCGCCACCACAAGTACAAGGTCCCAGGAGCCCCCTCAGTGGAAGACCTAAGCTTTGCCACACTCATCCGCTTCCCTCCAGACGCCCCTCACGGCCGAGCCACGGCCCTACTCAACTGGAAGGGGGCAGCCATGGAGGTCGCACCAGACGATTCTGTCCCCCTCGTGCTGCTGCTCTGCACGTGTCTCTCCGAGGCTATTAATGATATGGCGGGAATCAACCGCGTCAGAAGGTTCCGGCGCCTGCCATTGGCCGATCCCGACCCGGCCAATCACTGGGGCGCGCTGAGCATATCGAGGGACACAGTTGGCGGGGCGGCGGCAGCTGCGGCGGCCAAGAGTGGGGAGGAGGAGTTTTCGTTTTCGAGTGTGGAGATGAGCCGGCAGAAGTGGTGGAATAGGAGGCCGCTGCGGTTTGCAGTGGGGTCTGGGAGCTGTGGCGCTGGCGCCTGTGGGCCCAGTTGCACTGGCCCTGTTGACATCTTCAGTGGGTAAGGCTGTGGTGTGGTACCACTGTCTTGATGTATGGATGTCAAATACGGTAGCTTGTATGTACCCATGGGTGTGAAGAGGAAAGAGGAACATGTGATGGTAGTGGTATCTTATGTATACAATGAACTTGCAAAAGGTCTAAACTGTCTTCAGACGGGAACAGAAGCTTCCAAATTGAGGTGAAAATTTCCAGTGGTGTTTGTGGGGAGGAATCATGGCAACCACACTGCACTATAACCGAGTGCTTGGTGCATTCACTACTGAGTGGGTGAACTCAAAGGAAGGTACTATTAATGACAGTGCTATTAGCATTGTGTATTAACACGTTCACACAATGCTACAACAATTCATACAAGTACGCCTCTATACCCAAGCCCAACTCATCCCCAGCACCAACACAATTGACACCATTCTTTGTTGAGAAACGGTTTTTAGATGACGGTGCCATCGGCAATGGTAGCGTTCTTGAGCACCACTGTGATGCCCGAGCGAATGTAGAAGCCGTCCGTTGACCGATCTGCCTCCTCCACATGCTGGCAATGGAAGAAAGGGGTGAACGGATGGGGGAGAAGGGGTCAGCAGACGGGGGAACGAAGAGGATCTTGTCAGTGGGTAAGGATTTCAAAAAGCAGACTAAAAGCGTCTTTCATGTTGAAAAGCTTCGTGAAGTGGCAGGAAAGAGGCTAGAGTGCAGGATGTTATCCTGGAAGTATGACTCACGTCCTTGTTCTCCAGGATAACATTCTGTCCGATGCGTGCGTTCTTGTCCACAATGGCGTTGCTGCACATCCCAGAGACACACACACACAGCAACACACAGGAAGGAACACACGGATCAACATTTCAGCACTAAGGTCTTTCCCGCATCTGGAACACACCTTGCTCAACTGCTGGCCCCACTGGTAAAAACCCCATTCTCCCTCCCATCCATCCGGTTGGCTCCAGAGCCCACAGCCGCCTTGCTTGCTGCCAGCAGCATGCTTCCCAATCTCTCTAGATTGCACCATATGATCCCACTGAACACACAGCCCCACAGCCCTCTCTCAACTTTAGAACGTCGCCAGTGCCCACAGCGCATCTGATATTTGTTTTGGCACGGACACCCACCCGCACCTTGCTCACCAGAGCCTCCTTCTCAAGTCTCAAGCGCACCACACCATACCTCTGCCTCTCCCCTCTCCACTACCACCCCTTCCAATGCCCACAGCACACCTGATAATGGTGTTGGCGCCGATTCTCACCGGCATCATGCCTGCTGCCAGCAGCAGCAGCGCGTTCCTCTCTGTGTCCCTCTCATACCTCTAAGGACACCACGCCATACACCTCTCCATGTCCCTTTAGCCCGTCCCACACCTCTCAGGGCCCACAGCGCACCTGATGATGGTGTTGGCGCCAATGCCCACTGGCACCTTGCCTGCGGCCAGCAGCGCGGCCCTCTCCGCGTCCGTCTCGTAAAAGTCAGCCCCCACCACCATGGTGTCCTGTGGATACCAGAGGCGTGCCACACAACAGGTGCAGGAGAAGAAAGTGAGGGAGTGAAGGGGCGATTGATGGGGAGAGGTGAGAGAGGGTGGCAGCCCCAAGAAAATCTCCCGCCGTAGCCACTCCCTGCTTCGCCATAGCCAATCTCTGCTCCCGCCGTGACTGTCCCATTCTCGCAGCTCTGAATCACACCCACACCCCATACTGCTTCGAGCATCACACACACCCATACTCCTCTGCTCTGCACCACTCTGACTCCCTCTGCATCACACCACACGGCGCCAGTTCTTTGTCCAGAGAACCAGCTACTGCCAGCGCCTGTACCATCCCAGTGCAACATCTTTCCAGCAGCACCTTGATACAATGTGCGTGCCTTTCCCTCTAGAAAAGACGGGGGGGGCGAGTGACTGACCTTGAGAATGACGCCGTTCTCGAGTCTGGAACGGATGCCCACGATGCAGTGGTCCACCGTGCAGTCGCGCAGGAAGCACCCGTGTGAGATAATCGACCGCTTCACCTGCTCGTACACAGCAATGCACACGCGCCCGGAAGTGAGCAACGCGTAGCAGATTAATACAGCGCTTCAAGACCCTAGACAAGCAGTGGTAGGGATATTGTAGGAGGATATTTAGGAAGATGAGTGGCATGGCGGCAGGCAGAGGCGGGCGTACCTGGCAGCGTTCAATCTGCGTGGGCGGCAGGTAGCGCGGCGACGTGTAGATGGGGTTGGCCGCGTCGTAGAACCTGAACTTGGCGTCCTGTCATACGGTGGCCGGGAAGGTTTGGGGAGGGGAGGCGGTTGGGGGAGAAAGGTTAGAGAGGAGATTCATTGTACAGATACGCATGAGTCGAGTTCATTCGCTGGTGGACACACGCGAGAACTGACAGGCAACGAGTGAACAGAACACGGGTGTTTCAGGAAATGGACACTGGGGGCAGGTGAGGCGAGCCCGGGAGTAGCGGAGAATGGAGTGGGCCAGGGCATGGAGAGGGGAGAGAGGAGAGTGGAGAAGGGCTAAGGGCGTACAGTGTCGGTGAGGTTGAGGTTGGCGTCAAAGAAGGACTTGATGGTTCCGATGTCCTCCCAGTACCCGCCGAACAGGTATGCCTGCACGTTGTACTCGGCGGCCGACGCGGGGATGATCTCTCCGCCGAAGTCGTTGGACGTGGGGAAGCGCCACCTGCGCGCAGAACGAGGCAGCAACGGGCGTGAGCGACGACAGCATGTTGGCGTTACATGAGCACAACGCGCGCATCGAGTATGCGCGGGACGAGGACATGTTGGCAAGGAGAGAGGAACCGACCGAAGCGGGACGGGAGTACGTGGGAAGTGCGTCGAGAAAACGTCAGGAGCGGCGGCAGCATTACCCGAAGAGGCGAGACCGCATTACTTGAGGAGCGGCGGCAAGAATACCTGACTAACGGCATGGGGTTACCTGAGGAGCTTGAGCAGGATGTCCTTCTTGAAGACGTAGATGCCCATTGACGCAATGTAGGGGAACTTTGCCGCCTCCTCCTTGGAAATGCCGAGAATCGACGTGTCCACCTCCTGGTAGCCAGCAGCGGGAGAGAACGGAAGGGGAGGGAGGGGGAGGGTGGAGTGGGGGGGTCTACGAAAAATGAAGGGCACGCAGGTAACATGGGGGTCGCGCGTATTCCCAGAAAGAAACATCAGGGGGAAGAACGGAAAACGCGCTTCGACACTAGCGTGCATCTGTACGAGCATGCCCTCAGAAGCCAGCTTGGCAAGACCATTCAATGAAGGAATAATCGCATTAGAGCACGACGCGGTAATAACGGACGCGAGTCCTACGACTGACGGGTGCAGCCCTTCAACTGACCATGGCCTTGAGGTCGGCACCCTTGGGCTTCTCCGCAAAGCTGACGACGCGGCCGGACTCGTCGATCTTCATCAACCCGAAGTCGGACGCGCGGCTGCGAGCAAGGACAGCGAATCATGCGTTAAAACACCAGCGTACCAACGGAAACTCGACGCATTGCAACGCTCGGGATAGAGTAGCACAGAGGATATTGATATTCCAGGAGTTGGTAAGGTGTGGTGTGGCGGCATTCACCTGTCGTCCATGGGCAGAACGGAGATGGTGATGTCGGCGTTGGTGTCCTTGTGCTTCTGCACTCGGCAACAATCAAGAACAGAATCATTGCAACGCTCGTTAATAAACAGAGTCTCTAATCAGGAGTGAAAGTGGACAGCCATGACATACAGGGTAGTCAGTGACATTGCTCAAGGTTCAAATTTCCACTGATGCTCAGAAAGGCCTGGCGCATTGCCTGCACGAATGCACGTTACCTGCACGAAGTCCATGTAGTCCATGCGATAGAGATGGTCGCCGGACAGAATGACCACATCCTCCACGTGCTTGTTCTTCACATCCTGCCACACCCCAACACCGTCCCCAGGTACGCACACCGTGAAGCGCTTGACAAATGTGCCAAGCAATCGTTGTATCTGTGTTCTAATCTGACAAAAGACGCCAAAAAAACGTGAAAGTGGCCCGTGAAGAGCGAGCGACGGTCGCACCTCGAAGAGCCAGGAGAACTGCCGCACGGCATCGGCGGTTCCTTGAAACCAGTTGGAGCCCGTCGCAGGGGTCTGGGTGGCCGCAAGAGCCTGAGGAAAAAGGAACAGGAAACAGCAAAACAAGAGAGAGAAAATAATCGGTTTGACCGCATGCGTTTCCTATAGGAATGGAAGATAATGTGAGATAGAAGCGACGAGGTGCACGAGTACGCACCTCGACGAATCCGTCGCCAAAGTTGACGCCGTTGCCGAAGTTGTAGGTGCGCGCCAAGTGACGGTTGAGCGAGGCGGAGTTGAACTGCGTGAGGATGTACACCTTGTTGATGCCGCTGTTGATGCAGTTGCTCATCGGCACGTCGATCAGCCGGTACGCGCCGCCGATGGGCACCTGGCCAACGGGAAGATCGGCATAACATAGATTCACGCGTCAGCCAACAAAATATGTAGAGTGTGCCTGGAAAACTAAGGCACACATAGGACCTGATGGATTCATTCTTCGGCTACGATGCGTACCGCGGGTTTGGCGCGGGTCTTGGTGAGAGGGAAGAGACGCGTGCCTGCACCTCCACCGAGAATCACCGAGACGACCGACTTGGGATCGGCGCGCTTTGTCCTTGCCTGCCATGGATGAGAAATGGCGTACGAGGTAAGTAAGCTATCAGAACTACTTCCCAAGGAGAACTATGGACGAACGCTAGATTGAGGCTACGGCGAGGTCTGTCCTTACCACAGACTGCTGTGGTGTGGCTTCGGCGAGAACGGCGGAAACGGCAGCTTTCTTGGCTGCGCGCACCGCGACCTTCTTAGACTCGCATCTCAAGGCCTTGCCTTTCAGCCCCGACTGCGCAAATCCCGCAACTTTCTCGCCGGAAAACGCCTTCCTGGACGCGGCATCGCTGGCCGATACGGCTGCAGGGACCGACAGGCTTCGCACAGCGGTGGCAGCCATTTTAGTGTTATCTAGCACTCTTGGATGTGGAAAGATGTGCTAATCTGTGTCAAAATTCCACGACTCCTGTCTTGGAATTCTGCTGGTCGCTCCTTGTGAAACAGAAGCAAGAACAGTTACGTATAGAAGCAGCATCCTTTCTACGCCTGCTCCACTGTACCATGGGGAATTGTGGGGAATTTTGGCACTGTGGCTTATCTTCCAGACCTAGTGGATGAGAACGCACCTTGGCAGGTGGTCCCTGATCCATGGCGGAAAGCTGCCAGCGTGGCATGCAGCTGTGCTGGCGACAGTCGTCTGCCTGCTCGCCGGGCACTCGAGAAGCTCGTGCCCCGTCACGCGCACTATCGTCCGTCAGCGATCTCCAGGAAGATCCGTCGCTGGTAACATGCGACGCAGCCACGTGGCGAAGGTTAAGAACTTGTGGGGAGTCATGGCGGACATGGAGGGTCTTCACTTCTCAGCCACTGGTTTGAACGAATCAAAAGATATTCGTACGCCACCACAAAGCATCTTGAACTCTATATCGAAAAACACTAGAACGATAGAATGTATGCCAGGATAGAATAATCTTTGAACCCAAACTACCCCATTTCAAATGCACTAGGTAGGAGCTGGGCCCACAACTTGCTAGCGTGGTGTATTGGTGCTGTCACTGAACTGACACAGCTGGATAAGCGCTTGTAGTTTCTATCCGTATGGTGATCAATCGGTGCCATGACAGTGTTTTTACTACAAACTATCACAATCTTCAAGTAACTCAGTTACCTAGCTACATGCCACTGACTGTACATACGGTATGTACAAAATTTACAGGCATCTTCACCGTCAACATTGAAGAGCCACCACCCCTCAGGAAGACTATTGTACTGTGGCTAGTACAGCAACAAACTTTCAGGCCCCGCGAAAGAAGTCAGATGCACTGGCATTGCCTTCACGCAGCACATGCCCTCTCCCACCCACAACCTCGTTGCACTCAGGACAACGAGACTCCACCCACGCCCTGCCACACTCCCCTATCACATACACATGCCCGTTTGGGCACCGGTACCAGTGCCCTCCTCCCAGACCAATCGCTCTGTACACATCACCCTTCTCACGCTCCGTCAGCGCGAAGTAACGTGGCGCGTCCTCAACAGATGCTTCCAGGGCAGGTAGCTCCTCATCGAGCAGCTTCCGAGCGCTTTCTCCAAGGCTGGCCTCGACTCTGATGGAGAGCAAGTGGTGATTGGCCACCATGCCACACTGTGTCCTGGCCTTCTCCAGATACTCCAGCTGCTGCCTCTTTGCCATATCCTGCAAGAAAGCACAATGCCAAGGTGAAGTTGACAGGAGGTTTTTGAAAATGTGCGATATTTAGGATGAGTCATGAGGGCATGTTAGGAGTTGCAGCAAATAGACACAACAGCAGCGGTGATCTCACCAGGGCAGCCGGGGTGTTAGAGAGCAGGCGTTCCGCCATCAAGCCCTGCACGAACGCACACAACACATCTACCAGCTCCAGCCGTGCCCTCGCCTCCAGCCGCACCGCCTTGCGCCGCCCAGCCCACTCCACCGCCTCCCCCACATGCCTCTCCGCGCTCCTCACACTCGTCCGCACCACCTCCCTGCACCTCTCCACACAGAGCGTCAGATACACCACCTTCCTCCTGCTGCTGCTGCTGCTGCTGCTGCTGCTCTCCCCGCTCGCGCCAGCCAGAGTCCTCCGGAGATTCCCCAGGAGGTTCCGCAGTTGGAGGAAGTTTGCTGCCATTAGCAGCTGGAAGGCCTTCCCTAGCATCATGCGCGCTTCACAGAGGGGGCGTGGATCCGGGTGGGGGACATACAGCAACTGGCACTTCTCCTCCCATGTGGACTCAGACGACCCCACACGCCCTTGCCTGCCCTTCCTGCTATCAATGGCGAATGACCTATGCCCAAGCATGTAGTGTCGTCTCTGTAGGGCCGCTACAGAGGCCTGGTAGGTCTGCTGCGTTGGTGGGTTCCCAGCGGTGGCACACAGCTGGCCTGTCTCATGCACCAGGCGTGCTGCCGCCTGAGCTACCTCCTGCAGTCGCCTTGGCTGAGCGGATTCTGTGAGTGAGGAAATCACCTGGCTCAACCGGGCTAGCTTCCTCTGCACCGCTTCTTGGTCTGCCAAGCAGCTGAGAGCGAACTTGCGCTCTGATTGGTCCAGCAGGGCCTTGTTCACCATCCTGCCATAACGGCGGAGCCCTGTGATAGGCTGACGGCACTCTGGGCAGCCCTTGAGAGCAGACAAATCACCATCCTCAAACGGTAGCACTGCCACCCACTTGCGCCCACACTTCCCTCCACCTGCGCTCATCCCACTAGACCCACTCGCACCCCCAGTTACCCCATCAGACCCACCATCCGCGTCTAAATAAACTTGGTTCAACCCCATGTGGCCATCCAGAGTATCCACCGTATAAGCATGTCCGCATCCCAGTACAAGCACAGGGCTCTCATCCGGTTCAATCTCCCCCAGCGTCTCCAGTGTGACTAGATCCACTGTCAACCCTTTCTTCTCCGCTGCCCCACACCCAGCAGCCGTGCAAAACGCCGCCGAAGGGCATTTCTCAGCACAGAGAGACGGACACTGGTGGCCGCACTTGAGCGTTTTCTCACACCGTTCCTCGCAGGGGAGGCGGTCGCAGGGGGCGCCGCAGGGGAGGGAGCACGCCCCTTGGTGAATGCAGCGCCACCCGCAAGGCTCGGCGCACGGGGCACAGGTGCGGTGGCAGGGCTGCGGGCAGGAGCTGTGCTGGCAGGCCACGAGGCATTTCTTGGTGCAGGGGCTGCAGGGTCGGTCGCTGTGGCAGGTGTCCGGGCACAGGTGGCCGCAGGGGAGGGGCCGCTCACACCGCTGCATGCACTTCCTGTGCTTCCTTGCTGGCTGCTGCTGCACCTGCTGCTGCTGCTGCTGCTGCTGCTGCTGCTGCTGCTGGTGTGCCTGTGCCTGCTGGGGCTCTGTGGTGGCAGCTGGGTCAAGGATGCAGTGGCCACAAGGGGAGATGCAGGTGTGCCCACAGGAATCTGAGAGCACAGCCCCGCAGCGAGCCGTGCAGAGCTTGGGGTTGCTTGTCCTGGCTGCCGCCTCACTGCACTTCACTGTCTGCTTGTGCCCGCACAGCGGCATCGTCACCTCCACTCTCTCCCTGCCATGAGCCACACGGTGGTGAACAAAAGATACAGCAGCCCAGGCAGATTGGAACAATGAGGTAAGGAAGAAAACCCCGGAAAACGGGAGGGAATATGAGGATGGTTGACCGAAGCCAGACAATGGATGGAAGAGGAGTTGGACAAATGAACTCACGAGCAGAAGATGGAGGTGGGCTTCTGAGCCTGGAAGCACGGAACATTGAAGGCTGGATGGCCACACGGGAGGGTGAGCTCTCTGATGGTGACGGAGCAGGGGCCACAGGGCTCCCCACACTGCTTGGGGCACGTGTGCTGATACGGACACTCCTCCAATGGGCGGATCCGGTTGCACTCCTTGGGGCAGAACGCCCTTGCGTGTGCCCTGTCGTCGCCATGGCACCTGTCGGGTTAAGGCGGATGAAGCAAGCACATTTAACAGCAGAATGAGGCGCACACGAATATTATGGGCAACATATGCGTGGATTGCGAGCACATTTTCGGACTCTGCCTGCAAGAATGGCAACGCATCTACCTGCGGGGGCAGGTGTGGCCGCAGGGGGTGAGGCGGAAGCCGCACATCTGGGAGCATCCGCCCTCGCTCGCTTTCTCCCTGAACTCCCTCGCCTCATGAATGTGCGTCACCGTGTCACTGTGGTTCACACACCGCAGCGGAATGGATCCCCCCACGCGCCCCCTGCTCTGCAGAATGGTCAGGATTCGCGGCCAGAGCACGGACTTGGAGCTCGCTCTCATGGTGCTGGCGTTGCCTGCTCACGAGGAGTGGATCGGGAAGAGGGAAATGAAATGCCTCAAGGAGTCAAGTGGAAAGAGGGAAATGGAAGAGCGAGGTCAACAGCGTGCGTGCCTTGTGTTAGGGCGTTGCTTGCCCTCTATCAGATGGAAACAGCACTCAGGTCGGGTCATGTGGCTTTGGTGGGCATGCCATGCTTGCTCGCACGCACCGATGATATACATGCCATGCTTGCTCGCACGCACCGATGATATACATGCCATGCTTCGCACGCACCGATGATATACATGCCATGCTTGCTCGCACGCACCGATGATATACATGCCATGCTTGGCGCGAGACAGCAGCACGTTGGTGCGGTTGGGGCTCTTGAGGAAGCCAATCTTGCCGTCCATGTTGTTGCGCATGAGGGATATGATCACCACCGTGCTCTCCTCGCCCTGGAAACTGCACTCCGCCAACCGTACAACAAATCAGCAAAATCAGAGGGAGAATTTTCAGAATCTGTTGGGACAAAGCAACGCAAGCTGCTGCTTAGGCGCCAGACTTACTTGTCCACCGTGGCCAACCGCACTGCATCCTTCAAATTCGCTGTCGTTGCCTTGGGAGCAGCAGCATCCAAACCCACCCCCAACACCTTCCCCGCCACCCACGACCCTCCAGACGCCCCTCCCCCACGTCCACCCTCCCCCGCCTCAGCCCCACCTTCCCCAGCTCCACCCTTCTCCTCCGCCTCCTCCACCACCTCCGCATCCCTCTCCCCCAGCCTCACATCCACCACCTGAGAAAGCGCCTGGCGCAGCTTGAGCAGCTGGCCCACGTAGGGCGTGAGGATGGTGATCTCCCCTCCCGTGTACCCCTGCTGTAGGAGGTACGTGGCGAGCCCCACCACCAGGGCTGCCTCGCCCTCGTTGCTCTTGGACTTGCCCTCGTTGAAGTTGTCCAAGCCGCTCTCAGGGCAGTCGTGGTCCCAGAAGTGCAGGTTCACCGCCATGCCGCGCACGTCAGGATAGCTGGTGAGGGGGAGAGAGAGGGAGGGGGGGAGGGAGGCAGAGAGGGAGCGTTGGAGGTTTCCCCTCCCGTGTGCCCCTGCTGCAGCAGGTACGTGGCGAGGCCCACCACCATCGCCGCCTCGCCCTCGTTGGGCTGCGGGCTTGGGCTGCGGGCTTGGGCTTAGTCGTCTAAGCCACTCTCGGGGCAGCCGTGGTCCCAGAAGTGCAGGTTGATCCCCATCCCCACCCCCTCCAGGGCCTCCACCCCACCCCTCAGTCTACCCCGTCCCACTTACATCATCCCTGCTTCGATGTACGCAGGCAGCGTATATCCCAGATTCACAGCAGCCCCGCCAGGTGCCCAGCCAGGTGCCCTGCCAGGTGTCCCGCAGATGTACTCAGCAAAGGGCAGCGAGGCCTCGGTGATGCTCTGAAGCGCCTTGAGGATGGGCTCATACGCAAAGAAGCTCCCATGCGCCTCCAGCATCACCACCTACGTGCTGCCCCCACTCCCACCACTCCCTGCAGCACCCCCTGCAGCAGTCCCCGCACTGCCGTCTCGGGCGATCAGCCCCAGCAGGTCTGCACTGAACCCGTTCCCCCCACACGGCTGCACGCCAATCTGAGGCCGGGCAGTGGCGAGCCTCTCCGTGTCCCTCGCTGTGATGGTGGCGAATACCAGCCGGTGAGAGCAGGATGCATCTGCTGCGCTGCCTTGTTCCATGGGCTCCCTGTGACGGTGCTGCTGACTTGGACGGTGCTGGATCCACAGGCACACCAGGGAGCCGTTCTGCAGCCTCCGCGTGTTCTCCCAGAACTCCATCCTGCCAACCAAGCAGGGAAGATGCTGACTGATTGCTGACTGCGAGTCAATCCGAGAAGACGTCGCATGGACGCAAATCCGGTGCATATTCACCCCAAAGGAAACAGAAAACTGGCATAATCTGGCCTCATCAAATCAATGTACCTGTTACGAGAGCGCCGGCCACGCGGCATGGGAGGCTCCAGAAAGTCAATCAGAAAGTAGACGCCGTTTCGCTTATCAGTGTTAATAGACAGCACGTGCACGTCTCTGAGCAGATACACGTCCATGTCCTCAGATGAAAACCCCACGACGCCCTTCATGTCATCCGTCAGACCCCTCACCACCTCCCTGTCCGCCCGCACCAGCCCCATCGCCTCCTCCCTGCTGCTGCTGCTGCTGCCTCCACTCCTCCAGCTGCTGCTGCTGCCATCGCCACGGGTGGCGGTGGAGGATTCGTGGTTGAGGCGGTGGAAAAGAAAGAGAGCCTTGCTCCAGAGGGGGGCGATGAGGTCGTGGCGCAGCAGGCGGAACTGGATGTCCACGTGCCGGCCCACCGAGCCCGCAGGCAGGTGGTGTGGCTCGCTGGCGTGGTTGTGCGGCAGGTATGGTGATGCCTTGCAGAGAACCTCCTGCATGGTTGGCGCCACTGAGATCTGCAGTCAGGCAAGGGAATCAGTCACCAGGACAGGAGACCATTAGCACGTGGTTAGGCCAATGAGATTTTACCCTGAGAATGATTCTTGTAACTTGCAATGGGTTCTACATAGTAACTGGATATTCAATAGAAGCTCCTACTGCTGACATAATAAAACTGACCACTGACACTCAGCGTGTCAGACAGAAAACTCAGGAAGCTATATCTTACCGCTGAGATGTCCACATGGTCGTTATCATGCCTTGGGCGGCCAGCCAAGCTCAGCTCACCCGGCCCATCCACGGCCTGCATGCTTGTCATGCGCTGACCTGCAGCAGGGCAAGTATGAGATCAAACATAAATGACTTGCTTGCTCCAATGAATAAATTATGTCAGGTGACATCCACACTTCAAGAAAGGGTATTTTTTAAAGCGGACCTGAAGGAAAGAAGTCTTCATGCAGCATCTGCCCTTCCTCCGCCCTCCGCCTCTGCCTCTCGCTGTGACTCCTCACATCAACAGCCCTCTGCAGCCGGTAGATCACCGACCGCAGATGGTGGTACCGGCCGTCAAACACCGGCTGCTCGCTCTGCCACCTCTCCAGCATGCCCTCCAGCTCCTGCAGGTCCCTGCTGGCCTGTGCAGGAGCGAACAGGGAGTGGAAGCGCAGCATGGTCGCGTGGAAGCGCAGCATGGTCGCGTGGAAGCGCAGCATGGTCGCGTGGAAGCGCAGCATGGTCGCGTGGAAGCGCAGCATGGTCGCGTGGAAGCGCAGCATGGTCGCGTGGAAGCGCAGCATGGTCGCGTGGAAGCGCAGCATGGTCGCGTGGAAGCGCAGCATGGTCGCGTGGAAGCGCAGCATGGTCGCGTGGAAGCGCAGCATGGTCGCGTGGAAGCGCAGCATGGTCGCGTGGAAGCGCAGCATGGTCGCGTGGAAGCGCAGCATGGTCGCGTGGAAGCGCAGCATGGTCGCGTGGAAGCGCAGCATGGTCGCGTGGAAGCGCAGCATGGTCGCGTGGAAGCGCAGCATGGTCGCGTGGAAGCGCAGCATGGTCGCGTGGAAGCGCAGCATGGTCGCGTGGAAGCGCAGCATGGTCGCGTGGAAGCGCAGCATGGTCGCGTGGAAGCGCAGCATGGTCGCGTGGAAGCGCAGCATGGTCGCGTGGAAGCGCAGCATGGTCGCGTGGAAGCGCAGCATGGTCGCGTGGAAGCGCAGCATGGTCGCGTGGAAGCAGCTGAGCACGACGCCAAACGCCACATCCCACTCTCTCATCCCTCCATCGTCTCCTCTCACGTCTGCTCTCCCCAGATCGCGGATCATGCCGCGCTGGGTTAGCAGCCTCATGCAGGCGACGAGGTACTCTTGAAAGCCGTCCACCTCGGCGATGGCTGCAAGGGTCGTGTTGACCTTGCTTGATGCCGGGTTGTTGAAAAACGCAGGCTGCAATCATGCAGGAAAAAAAACACGGAGAGAAAAACGTAAGACATGAGTTCTCCTGAAGATGGCATCCATGAGTGCTCCACAGAACTATAAGATAAGGATCGGTGGAAGAAAAGACGAAGTGCAACCTACTACCTGACAAATGACTTGTAGCATTGGCAGGATCACGCTCTGGAAGGATACGGTTCGAGGATGGTTCCCAGCTGATACTGATCTTTCAGCACCGCAGCACACAGCCTCATCGCAGATGCTCAGAAGCTTCCTCCTGCCATAGAGCTTGTCGTCAGCGAGAACGATCACCAGATCTGCACACACCACCCATGCCATGATGATCATTGCTTACGTCAGTCGTACGTCAGTCAGCATCGTGACATAAATAACGCAGATAACTAGTCAAAAGGAGGAACTGACGGACGGATGACGTGCCTGAAACATCGTGACCCTCCATTGCTTGAACAAACAGTCTCATCTGAAACTGATTCGAGAATTCCCGGTCGTTGGGCAAGAAGGTCCACAGGCTCGGGACCCTCCTCTCCTGCCCGTCGGAGCTCGCCGAACCTCCTCGCCCTCCTCCGCCGCCTCGTCCTCCCCATCCCCTGCCGCTCCCACCGCGTCCGCGACCTCCCTGATAGAACCCAGACTGCTGATATCCCCCATGTTGATATCCACCATGCCTTGGAGAATAATCGTCCGTTGCGCTTCCGGAGCTTCCTGCTCTGCCGCCATGGCCGCCGAAATTCCTGCCTCGCCCTCTGCCAAACTCCCGTGGAGAGCCGAACGGAGAATCCATCGAACGCTGAAACAGCCAGAGAGGCGTCTAACGACCTCTGGAATGCCGCTGTTGGCCATTTATAACGAGCAGCAGCGGCACTCTTACGCGGAATCGCAGATTACAGTACCCGATGTCAGACAAATCAGCCTGATGCGAAGGAGTCACACGCGCATGCGACGATGCCAGATGGCAGCTCGTTTCTCGCCTAATTCACGCCAAACGGTTCACGCACAGAGGCTGGGTGCTTCCTAGGAAAGGCTTCCTGCACCAGAGAACGGCATGCAGAACAGAATACTGAAGTTCATTTGGAGAGGCCAACATGTGTGCGAAACAATTGGCTCGGCATACTCGATACAACATAGCATACCGCTATAGGAATACAAAATGCTTGCGCACAACATTCTGTTCAGGATTTGTTCGTTTCTGGTATTGCTCACCTAAATTATACTTGATAAGCTGGTTGACTTGTAGGCTGGTTGGTTAGTAGACTGGTGGTCTGGTACCATATGCTGGTTGGCAAGCTGGTTGGTTGGCGGCTGTAGCCTGGCAGGTGTGGTTGCCAGAGAAACCCCTGTTCCTTGGCAGTCCCTGTCATCCTAACAGGGGTTTGCCTGTAACATGGCCTGTTTGTGGTGCCACTTTCTGTATGTGCATGCATGCGTCATCCCATGCAGCGTATGCGAGGGTTCACTGCACTGTTTTTGCCACGGCCGCATCAGAGGCGTATGCCTCTCAAGCCAGCTGCACCTTTCTGAGCACGCTCAACCAGCAGAAGCCAAGTCCTGCTCTATCGTTGAAACGCACAGCTAGACTTCCAGTCGTTTCAGCGCCGTGAGCGCAAGGGCCTGGCCATGGCCTGCAGTCTGTAGAGAAGCCAAGTCCTGCTCATGCCACGGCACACCATCGTGCATGCAATCATGCCACAGTGACACAGCGCCTGCAGGAGGCCACTCTGTCCTGCTTGTGCCCAGGCGCCTTCCAGACCCCACCACCTATTCTTCAACATGCAGGCCCACCCCAGCCCAGCACAGCGCAACACAGCACACCTAGCACAATTAATAAGCACAGCTAGGCAAGCTAAGCACAGATAAGAACAGTGAAGCACGGAGCCAAGAACAGCAGCAGCCCATCTTGAGTACTTGGTGGTGGTAGACCGCCATACTGCCACAGCCCACATGTCCTCTACCACGCCCTGCACATCACCACAAGAGCCATTTATGAGATATGAAAAAAATGGGAGAAAATGGAACAGGGGGGGTCTTACACGCTGCAAAAACGCACAACACCACAGAAGTGAAGTTGTTATAAGGCACCAAGTGAGAAATGTATGTTAGCAAGGCCAGAAACTTTCCCCCCAGAATCTTCCACCACACCCACCATGTAGAATAAGTAGCAGTGCTGTTGGTGCCACTGCTTCCCCTGCAGTTGTTGTCAGCGGCTGCAATGCGACATATAGAAGGGAGGAAGGGAGAAAGGAGAGAACGAGCCAATAAGGACAAGGATGAAGGGAGACGATTAAAGTCTTAACAAGAACACCTGTCCATTGCTGAAGTTGAAACCAAGCAAGCATCCCCTGGCACGTACCACATTCAAGCTCAATGCTTCCTCCTCCTTGGCAGAACCTGCGGCTCCTTCGCCACGCCTTCGCCCCAAGCAGCACCCTGCTGCTGCCCGTGCTCCAGGCTTCAGGCGTGCTCCTCCAGGCTGCTCGTGATGTGCTGTTGACATCTGCAATGGGAGGGGTCTGTGGCTTGTGTGATGAGCCAAAACCAACCAGTGGAGAGAGATTATAGAGGAGAAAGCAGTGAAGCAGATTTCATGGAAGTGATGAACTCTTGGCATCACAAGAGGCAAGCGTTTCGAGGAAACAATACTTGGCTCAAAAGTCAAGGCGCCGTTCCTACAGCTGCTACAACTCACCAGCGCTGCTGCTGTGTCTCGGGCAAGAACGATTCCCACAAGCTTGTTCCCCCCGTCCACTCCCTGCCACTCCCCTCCGTCTCGCAGGTCGAGAAGCACACACAAGCGAGGGAAGAGGCACACGCAGACTGTGCAGAGCAACATGGGAGGGTTAAAAGCAGCAAGAGAGGAGGCGAGTGACGGAGGTAAGGGCAACAGACACGACTCTTGCCTCTGCGCGGCGACGCTCTAGGACTCACTACACTGCCCCCCCTCAAGCACCCCCTTGTCATGTACCATGCTTCGTTCGCCGCCCGGCCGCTCCTGCCCGTGCTGCTCCTGGTTGTCTCTCGTGCGCGCCAGAAAACGGCAGCCCGTGCATTCCCCGTCCGTCTCGCAGGCCGTAAGGCACACACACGCATGGGGAAAGAGGAAGGCCACACAGAAGCGGCGCAGCAGGGATGGTTAGAAGAAGCATGAAGGAAGGCGAGTGGTGGAGGCAAGAACAACAGACACGACTGTTGCCTCTGCGCGGCAACGCCCTACGACTCACGGCCCCTCAGCAAGCACCCCCTGGCACGTACCACGCTCCGCCCGTCACTCTCCCACTCCTGCGCCAAGCCTTCACTTCAGGCGTCCACGTGCTGCCATTGCTCTCCGGCTCGCAGGCCACGAGGCACACACACACATGGGGAGAGAGACACACACACACGGGAAAAGAGAGAGACACACACAAGGGGAGAGAGAGACACACACAAGTGCAATGAAGGAGGGTTAAAAGCAACAGGTGGCAAGTGACGGACCCGCAAGCAATAGAAACGACTCTTGCCTCTGCGCGGCGACGCCCTACGACTCTCTTCACGGCCCCCTATGGATCGTACCACGCTCCGTCTGCCGCTTTGCCACTCGGCCGCTCTGCCTCCTGCACCACAGCTGTGTGTTGCTCCATGTTGCTCCATTGCTGCTGAGCCAAGCCTTCGCCCCAAGCAGCCCCAAGCCTTCGCCCCAAGCTGCTCCAAGCCTTCTCCCCAAGCAGCGCCAAGCCTTCGCCCCAAGCAGCGCCAAGCCTTCGCCCCAAGCAGCGCCCTGCTGCTGCCCGTGCTCCAGGTTGCTCCGTTGCTGCTGCTGATGCTGCTGCTGCAGGTGTTGCTCTCGTCGCGACCACATCCGCATTGCTGCAAAGAAGAGGAGAGGACAAGAGAGGAGGGGTGTGGGAGTTGAGAATAGTGGAATGAACGCATGGCGGCACCATCGGAACATGGCATGCAGAAGAGAACGGAGCACAGAACGCAGGAAGATGGTGAAAAGTGAAAAGTGAAGTGGTGAACTGCTTGACCTGCTGATCCACTCACAACCTCTTGTGTGCTCGCCATTGCACCCTCCTCGCCACTCACATCGTGCAGCCACTGGCGTCCACTTGCTGCAGCCACTGGCGTCCATTCTCCTCGCTGCCACTCGCTACCATTCCCCTCCGTCTCGGGGGCCATGAGGCACACGCACGCATGCGGAGAGAGACACGCACACAGAAGTGGCACAACAAAGGTGGGTTAGACGTATAGCAGGAGGCGAGTAATGGACCCGCGAACAACAGACACGACTCTTGCCTCTGCGCGGCGACCTCTTATGACTCACTTCACGGCCCCCCTGCAATCACCTCCTGACACGTACCATGATTCGCGCTGCTCTCCCACTCCTGCGCCACCCCTTCACTTCTGGCGTGTTCCTGGTTGTCTCTCGTGCGAGCCAGCAACTGCAGCCGAATCGATTCCCTGCCCGCTCCATGCCATTCCCATTCGTCTCGCAGGCCGTGAGGCACACACAACAAGGGGAGAGACACAGCCATACGGGAGCGAGCAATGCAACAAGGGAGGGTTAGAAAAAGTTGAAGAGGAGGCGAGTGGCGGAGGCCAGGGCAACAGACACGACTCTTGCCTCTGCGCGGCGACGTTCTAGGACTCACTTCACTGCCCCCCCGCAAGCACTCCCTGGCACGTACCCCCCTCCGTTCGCCACTCTGCCGCTCTTGTGCCACGCTTTCACTTAATGGTGTCTCTCGTGCGCGCCAGCAACGTAAGTCCCGTGTCTTCCCCGTTCGCGTCTGTCTCTTCGGACGTGAGGCACACACACGCATGGGGAGAGAGGCAGCCACAAAGGAACGACGGAACAAGGGGTTAGAAACAGCAACAGGAGAGTGGTGAAGGAAAGGGCAAGCGACTCTTGCCTCTGCGCGGCGACACCCTACGACTCTCTTCACTGCCCACCCCCCCAAGCACCCCCTGGCACGTACCACGCTCCAGCTATGTGTTTTCTCCTCCTTGGCTGCGCCTGCCACTCCTTCACCACGCCTTCACCCCCAAGCGATACCCTGCTGCTGCCAGTGCTCCAGGCTTCAGGCGTGCTGCTCCTGGTTGGTTGTCGTTGCCACTGCTGCTACACGTGACCAGCGCTGCAATGCTGCTGCTGTGTCTCCATCACTACCGTATCACAGGCCGTGAGGCACACACATGCACAGGGAGAGACGCACGCAGAGAGAGGCGGTGCAACAAGCGAGGGTCGGAAGCAGTAGGAGGCGAATGGTGGAGGCAACGACAACAGAGTCGACTCTTGCCTCTGTGCGGCGACACCCTACGACTCTCTTCATTCCCCCTCTGCAAGCACTCCCTGGCACGTACCACGCTCTGTTTGCCGCTCGCCGTCCCTTCACGTGACGCGTGCTGCTCCTCGTGCGATCAAGCAACGGCAGCCCCGCCCATTCGTGTCCATTTCCCGTCCACTCACTGCCATTTCCGTCCGTCTTATGGGTCGTGAGGCCACACATGCACAGGGAGAGGGACACAAACAGATGCAACGCGACAAGGGAGGGTCAGAAGCAGCAGTAGACGAGTGGCAGAGGAAAAATCAACAGACGTGACTCTTGCCTCTGCGCGGCGACGCCCTACGACTCTCTTTGATGCCCCCCTGCAAGCAACCCCTGGCACGTACCACACTCCGCCCGCCACTCTGCTCCTCCTGCGTCCCGCTTTCACTTGCGGCGTGCTGCTCCTGGTTGCTCGTCACGACCGCCACCGTGTCTCTGCCTTTGACTTGCCAATGTGCCGTTGCTGCCCCTTCCCTCTCACAAGCCGTAAGGTACACACACGCATGGGAAGAGAGACACGCACACAGAAACGGCACAACAAGGGAGAGTTAAAAGCAGGAGGACGGAGACGAATGGTGAAGGCAAGGAAAACAGACGACTCTTGCCTCTGCGCGGCGACTCCCTACGAGACTTCACTGCCCAACGCAAGCAACCCCTGACACGTACCATGCTCCGACCACCGCTCTACGATACTTCATGTCACGTCCATTCCGCGTTCACTCCGCGCCATTCCGCGTCCACTCCGCGCCATTCCGCGTCCACTCCGCGCCATTCCGCAGGCCGTGAGGCACACAAAAGCATGGGGAGAGAAAACACGCACACAAGAAGCGGCGCAAAAGGAAGGGTTAGGATCAGCAAGGAGGAGGCGAGTGGTGCAGGCAAGATTAAGAGACGCGACTCTTGCCTCTGCGCGGCGACGCTCTAAGACTCACTACACTTCCCCCCAGCAAGCTTCCCCTGGCACGTACCATGTGCCTGTCGCTGCTCTGTCGCTCCTGCGCCACGCTTTCCCTTGAAGCGTCACGCCTGGCTGCTCAGTCGTTGCTCCCGTCGCGACCAGCACTGCGTCGTTGCCTCTGACGCAGTTGTTCCAGTTTGCTCGGTTGCTGCTGCGCCACGCCATCGCCCCAAGCAGCATCCTGCTGCTTCCCGTCGATCAGTCGCTGCTGCTGCAGCTGCTGCTATAGTCATTGCTCTCGTCTCGTCGCTATCAATGCAACGTCGCTTTGACGACGGAAACAGCAGCAACGCCGCTCTGACGGCAGTAACGACAGTATTGTTGTGTTTAACGCCGCTCTGACGCTCTGCGAAAGCAGCAGGGACATAGCCGTGACGACGGAAACAGCAGCAACGGCGCTCTGACGGCAGTAGCGACGGTATCATTGCGTTGATAGCCGAAGAAGCAGGGACGTCGCCTTGATGACGGAAACAACAACAACGCCGCTCTCAGAAACGACAGTATCATTGTGTGGCGCCTTGTCCGCAGAAATGGCATCAACGTTGGATTGGCGACGAAAAGTGCAGCGACGCCGCTTTGACGGTGAAAACGTCAGCTACGTTTTTTGGACGCCCGAAATCGCAGTTGATTCTGTTTTGACGGCAGTAACAGCAGCGACGCTACTTTGTCGGCGGAAGCAGCAGCTAAACTTCGATAGCTATAGCGGTGACGACGTTTTTTCTATGGCGGAAATTACGGCTACGTTGCTTTGATGTCGTAAACAGCAGCAACGACATGACAACGACCTAACTATATTCAGCTTCAATTGACATAGATTTAGTTATCGAATGAGCAATCGTAAGCTTAGTGAAGGTATGCGAGTGAGCTTAGGGCTAGAGCTACCAGCAGCTCACATAGCTGGACCTGGAGCTCGGAGCGAAGCCTGAAAGATCCGCCAGAAGCAGCAAAGCACTCAAACTCCTCCTGTGTGTCCTCAAGAACGTCCGTGCCAAGAGCACACTCACCCCCGACGGACGGAGGACGGACAGACACAGACGCAGCAACCAGACTAGCAGCGTAGTCTAGGCGACAGGCAGCAGCAAAGGCAACAAGCTCAGTAACAAGAGCAGACGCAACAGAGGACTCAAACAGAGGGTCAGTGACAGCAGTGGCCAGAAAGCGCGTGACAGCTGGACTAGCAGCACGAAGGGAGTCAGACTCCGGGTCCGGACTGGCAGGAAAAGAGGATGCGGG